TCAACGGAACAATGGTAGCAGTAGTGATACTGTTATTAATAATATGACAACAAATAATACTGTCACTGCCAGTACCAGCGGTGATTCGTTCACTGTGCTAAATGGTTCTACGAGTAGCCAGAATACGGTCAGTTATTACAAGCTAGTATTAAACAGTCTATTACTACTTGTTTCCCTAACCCATCAGATATTTTTAATGTTTTCAATCGGGAGTTTTGGTATGCTACAGTTTAGAATATTCTTTTTCTGCAGGAGTAATACGAATTATCTGTTCTTTCTGGATGAAGATAACATAATAAGATTTTAGTTTTTTTTCATAAAAACTAATTTTAGTAAAAAAACGAGCGATAATTTTTAGCGAGATTTTTGAACGTAAATAAGCCTAATTTAGGGATCAGGATAATAATAGACCAAGAACGATAATTGTTTTAAATATGATAATGAATGACAATAACCGTGAGAATAAAAAATGATTTCCATTTTTAATCTTGATATAATGGAATAAATGGTACAATACGTTCCAGAAGAAGTATAAGGGGTATATCGATTTGAAGTTCTGTTTTTCAAAATATTGCGGAATACTCGATTGATTTTCCAACTAGTCAATAATTTCGCAACGTTTCGAACTGGATTTTATCTAAAGTCAGGATGTTAGAAAGATTTTAAAATTGTTGAAATTATGATGAGTATGATATTCATTGCAGCACTTATAGAATGTAAAATATTTTATTCGCAAATAAATATGTCTTGAAATGAAATTTCGGAAGAATTTGGAAGAATAGCTTTTCATTTTTTTGTTGATGAATAATTTATTTTTTTTATTGGCAGGAAAACAAAACGTTAATTTTTCGAAATAAGCAAAAATCGAAAGGATTGTTGTTTGTATGGTTTGGAAAGGAATATACTAAAAAAGAAATTTTCTTCACTCTTTCGTTTCTTTTTGTTTTCAATTTTATACTTTTAATAAATTCAATTTTAACAAAATTATAATAAAATTAAACGATTACATTGTAGAAAGAAATTAATGAAATTAATGTCTTTGAAATTAATGAAATTAAATTAATGTCTTTGCTAATGAAATCGCAGAGGTGCAGTTTTTGCTTTGTTACTGCGATTTCTCTGATTTCTCAATAATGAAATGTGATAATAATTATGTAATTGAAACGATAGAAACAAAATAAAAAGAACAAATAGCTAGAGGTATAATCTACCGGTATCTGCTCTACGGTCTTATTTGTTCTAAAAACGGAATTTGAAATAATATGATGGGAGGATGGAGACGTGGTAGAAATGGGAGGAGAAAATTACTTTGTAAATAATTTAACAATCAAAACATCTGTTCGAATTAGAAATTATTCTTTCATATAGGTCATCATTTTCGTTCTGCTTTTCCGCAAGTTATTTTTGCATATTTTAAATGGTAACTGAACTTACGTAAATCTCATGCTAAAATCGTAAATCATTCAGTTTGAGAAACTTTCCTATTCACTTATAAGCTGTTTTTTTTCTTCATTGTTGGAAACTTCTATAATGTCGGGAAGAAAATTTATCATCGAGAATAGATTACAGGAAATTTAGCATTCCTAATTGCAAAGGTCAGAAAGGGATACTGTTTTCGAATGAGGATTCATTTTTCTCGGGTAATTTTAAATTAAAAATAAAGTTACAATGTTTTATATAAAAAAATTTTGGGATAGAGGAGAGGAAAAGGAGAAAATCAATCAACTATAAGTTTTCAATTTCTTGCAACTTTTTTTTTGAAATCTTTATCGGAAATCTTTTAGTAGATTAATTGAACAGAAAATGTTCATATATTTATTGTAAATTTCGTAAGTAAAAAATCAATAATTTTTATCAAAATTATTAAGTAGGAATAATAACAAGGAAAAGATGATTGTGTTGGCAGTTAGTCTTCGAAATCTTGTTCATAATTTAATATTTTAACCAATCTATATCTCCGACGACGTTTCTTTGACAAGTACGTTCTCGCTCTCTAGAGTTTCTTCTAAATTTCTTATCATTATAAAGATAATCTATTAAATTTGAAACAAATTCGGGGGATAGGCAGTAACATTATATTAAATGTTTCAGTTTCACTCAGAATCTATCATCTGTACTGTTGGATCCAAAATGTTCGCGAACAGAAACACAAGTCTTTTTCACCAGGCATTGGGGTGATTCGTTTGTACCCAAAAATCGGATATCACCGGCATTATCCTTACCTGCTATATCACTAGATCATTTCAAGAAGTATCTTAAAACTACTGCTAAGGTTTGTTATGCTATTGGATAACATTTCTTGCCATGACCATGTTATTGCATTATTAATAGTTAACTTTGTTATTATTATCTCTTTTCTATGATTCCCACGTTTTAATTGAATTTTACACTAATCTTTTTTAGAAACACTATCAGTGTTTAAAAGCAAAATATGAACTTCGGCGTGCATTAGCACGACGTGAGGATGATACACGTATCGATGTTGATGATGTACCAACGGTTTGTGATTATATCAGATATTTTTGTGTTTCTGTTTTAGAATAGAATAGAATAAAATGTTTTTAGGCTATTATTTTACTTCTTACTAGTAAATGGCCTTATTATGCACTAATATCGGCATATATCTTCCACGTCTGACACTCATATTGTGAGGTATTAAGTTGGAGAGTATATTTTATTATAAGCAGAGTGGTTATTAATATGATTCTCTACTTTATCAGTTATGTTGAAGATTCTTCTGGATCCGCATTTTTCACTGGCTGATTTGTCCACCTTTGAAGCAATTTTCCTGGAACCTATTCCGGGAGAAGTTGATCGTTTGGAAGTCAATGGTAAACCGTACACAACAATGCTGGGATCACAACCTTGCGGCAATGGTACATCACCTACGCCAAGTATCTCGGAAGATTCGAGGTCGCTGCAGGTGATGAAACTACTTTTTAATGGATATTTGAAACAACGTTTCACTCAAATTAGGCAATATTTTACCTCAGTTTTTTGCAACAATAATTATCTAATACAAGTTCTTTAAATTTGTTTAAATTTGATCTAATGCAGTTTCTCATCATTGTGACAAGTACAGTGATAAAATCTGAATTGTTTTCACATATCAATCAGGTTTTGGGAATACACTCCATCATTATTTCTGGTTACCATTTTGCTGATCAGAGTCTGACCGTTTCAGGTGCATGAATCATACGAGGCAGCAAATGGCCGTTATTTTAGGCCATATGATACGCTACAGCAATGCTTTGAATTTTATCACGATTTGGTAGATGCGAGGCTGAACAATCAATTGGTATTGAAATCCAATGCATTTTGGAAAACAGTTATATCATGTGGAAGTCTAAGTGGTGAATTGGCAGATGCTACGGAAAGAGTTGCAGTAGTAAGGTTATCTTTTAAGTTGTGGATAAAAATAATCTCCACAAAATGAAACATTTTAATCCATGGTACCGATTTATTCAGATTTTTTAAGGATTCCACATCTCTTTTATATGCTGCAGTATCTCTCAGAAATATAATGGTAATTACTCAGACTTACTTAAACAATTTTCATTATATAGTTATTATCGTGGATAGCAATTTATAATTTGTAACTATTAATTGGAATAATGCCCTAAGGATTTTTTAGGCAAAATTTGAAGAAAGTAGATGAAAAGTTGTACCATCGGATGACAAATATTGTAAGTATGTATAAAATGCGACAACAACACGAGAGGGTACTGCAGAAATTGCGAGTTAGTTTTTTTTCCTAATTATCTCTTCTCAAAGTAGATCAAAATTGATAAAATTATAATCGGTGTTGAAAGCACGTGCACTATCACAAAGCATTATTCTCCTCCATGGAGAATAAGCGATAATGCAAATGGTGTGACAATAAGCTAGCTTTACTTTGTTTTTTTTGGTCTGGACTTTATGCTTCCTCGATTCTAAAATGCCCCTGCAATTTCTACGTTGTTCTAAAAATCTTGAAATATCTTTATTTTTTTCATTACTTAAATCAATCGCAAAAATTATTGATGAGCTTGATAACGGCATCATATCCCTCTTTCAAATGCTTTTAAACGGATTTTTGTTTGCTTTATATACTTTTTTAGTTCTTCAAAGATATAAAACAGGCGGGCCGTTTAGTTTTGCTGATCCTAATGAATGTTTCCAGTAGCATTGCAATTTCAGTACTTCACGCTACTTTTTGAAATTACTGGAAACCTCTGCATGAATTTTTCATACTTCTTAAGCTTTTAACAATGAGATCAGCCTATTATACAGGACATGGCATGTCTTCGAGATGCTCAGCCAACTGTTCAAATGCTCTTAAATCAGAATGACTATCCAAAAGCTTTAGAATGTATCGAAACGGCGCAGGATGTCTTGAACAACGAATTACGAGGTGTTACATGCTTCAGGTTAATGTTTCGGAAGTTACAACTATTTATATATTCATTCTGAAATTCCATTTATTATCTGGATTACCAGTTTATAATGTATTTCATGATTATAATAGTATTACCTATGGAATACAAAGAATGCTTATTATAGCAGTCTTAAATTAGGCTAGTCAGTCTATTTCCAATGATCTGCAGAATTTCTGAAATTTAATAACAGAATTCATTGAAATTTTGGTAGTATCGATTACCTTTTTGTTTTAGGTATCTTGGTCCACAATTACAAGAGCTACGTAAAGTAATCGCAAAAATGCTTTATGAAGAATTTGTAACCTTGATACAAAAAGAAATGGGACGACCATGTGAAACTGAAAATGATATTGCTTACCAAGGAGTTCGTTTTTTGGTATTATATCTAATTTTGATAACAAATCGGAACAGATGTAGGTGCAGTACGTGGAAATGGAGGGAAAATAAAGAGTAAGTTTGTAAGACAGTCACTCCCCAACATTTTTGTTCAAAAATGACAGGTGCAAATTAAACTTAACAAGTTAAGCAGCATTGGTGGAAACGGTAGTACTGGCGTTCGACCATACAAGCTTTTCATGTCATTACCAACTTATCACTCCTGATGTGGTGCTACTTTTTAAGGGACACATAAATCCGATTGTAATTGGTTTGCTGCAAGTAAAAGAATATCGCTTTGTTCATATATTACAGCAAGAAATAGTCGTAGCTTTGAAAAATTCGCTAAGACAGGTTTGTTAATTTAAATAATTGATAATGGCCAAAGGTTCCAATTTATGAGGCAATTAGATAAGTATTTGTTCATTCATTCATAAAAATCATTATTTTTATAGATAATAAAAGCACATGTGGTACGGAATATGGGTGATCAGGAGTTAACTGAGTTTGATCCATCACTTGGTAATTTGAGCACCCAAATGCGAAGGTTGAATTTCGATCAGTGGTTCGCGACACTGCAGCATGTCTTGCGTGTCCTTTATTTAATGTGCTGTAGGGTGCAAAACATTCAGGAAGTTATTCTGGATAACATTAACCATTTTTCGGAAGTTACTGCTGGAAGACCTATGCAAGATCAGGAAATTACCGAGGAGTCAGTTTTTCATGAAATCATATTAAAATTTAGATCTAGTCGGTATTCCCATGATTTGAAAATCAAAGTTTAGATATGTGCATCATGTCTCACTGAACTGAAATTTCGTACAAGTATACTAGATTTAACATTTTTCTGATGATTCGTCCAACTTCCAGAACTTCATGACATTCAAAACGATTGGAACATTCGAAAAATTGTAGATGGAATGGTTGTCCTTTCCGGAATATTCAGTTTTTTTCTAAGGAAGTATTGATCCAAAGAAATCCTTAGCCTGGAGTTTGGCGTATTTAACACTTATGATTCCTGATTATATAATCATTAATATTTAGTATCGACCCTGTACAGGAACCTATGGATCCAGATAAGTTCACGTCTGCAGTTAATGATGTATCAGTTCCAGTACAAACGGCTGACGAGATTGCAAAACTGGATACAGATGATGAATTGGAAGTAGAAATCAAACGCGTATTGAGAAAAGATTCGCTGGAAATGAAAAATATTCCAATTCCATCATCGAACAAAGAAAAAGCTAGTGTTGAAAATAAGCAAAATGAAAATGTTGAAAATCAACAAAATGCTAGCTTTAGTAAAGTAGAACGGGGAGATGCTTCCCAAGTAGGAAATAATATTTCGGATACGGTAATGGCTGCAACAACTTCTTCTTTCCTCTCAGTACCATGCAGGACAATAAGTCAGGTGATTTTTGAGTTAATGTGTAACCTGCGATATCCTAGTATTATTACTTTAATCGATTGCCTTGATTTACAGTCTATCTGATAGTGATACCTTTTGGTAAACCTTCAAAATTTCTTTTGAATTCATTCTTTTTTTGAATGCTTGGTTCTGTTGAATTTCCAAAAATTTTAATTTTCAAATTAAAGGTTTTAATTGAAATTTTTTTTGGAATTTTTCTACTTCCGAAAGAGATTTTAGAAATCTTATCAACGTTGAAATATTTTTCTTTCTTAAATATAAGAAATTGTTTTTCTTTAAAGGTAAAACTGTCAGTAGCTTACCTCACTGAACGTACAACATACACGGCTCAAGAACGCAGTTGTCGTCTAATAGCTGCTAGATCAAAAGTATGTAATGAATTTTCAATTGATTTTGAAATAAAAAGTAGTTCTTGAATATTCAAATTCTTTTAATGAAATGAGTTTTTGAAAAGTTGGAAAGAAGGCCGAAAGAATTGGAAGTTTCTGGATAGTGTTTCAGGATGGCTTCCTTGAACGGTTATCGTTATCCAAGTTTGATAGTGTAATGCGTGCTATAGAAGAATTTGTCTGTAATTGCCAAGCGTTAATTGGAAGCGAAAAAAAAATCTCTTCGCCTTTACGCCTATGTATTCTTCAGCAAGGCAGTGGTTTTGTTAAGAAATTCCACGAAGATCGGAAAACTAAATTGAGGTGTGTTCTATTTCGGGCAAATCATCGACATACAAATATAAACAAGTAGAAAATAGTTCATGGATATTTATATCTGTCTTTTTTTCAAAATATTGAGTTCTTATCTTTTTTATATTTTAGCTTTTGAGGAATGATCGAAAGAATTCATTAACAGATAAAACATTTTATCTTTTTGCAGTTTATTTTTTTTGCAGTAACATTCTGGACACGGAAACTTGGCGTGTCGGCGATGTGCCAGAGCATTTCCAACGACTTGTTGATTTGTGTTTGCGAACAAATTGTTTATCTGACGTAAAGTCGTTAGAAATTGGAAATTCCAATGAATTTAAATCCAACTTGCTAGTCGATGGAGAACCATATGTTGTTGTAGGGTGCATTTTTGTTACTTTAATTTATGATTTCTTAATTTAGTTTTTGTGTCGAAGGATTCCTTAACAGATGAAATTTAAATTTTTAGTTCATAGCATCCTAATTTTTGAAGATGCAAAGCGAAACATGAGACTTCAGCTTGATTTTGTCAAAATCGTTGGAACTTTCTCTCTCTGATAATACATCTTAAATTATTTCCATTTTCAGAACAGCCTTTATTCTCCTGCAAATAATGGCGCAATATTGTGATGCTTTAGCTGTACTTCCAGAACATGCTTCTGAACTTTTGATGTGTATAGTAGAGTTGTTAAAAAATTACAATAGTCGTAGTTGCCAGTTGATTCTTGGAGCAGGCGCTTTGCAATTGATTGGCCTCAAGTCAATAAGTGTCCGACATTTAGGTATGTTATGCGGAAATCTACATCATTCTTTGCATAAATTTCGACGTCTCTCATTTGATAATTAAACAAAAGATTTGTATTTTTTTTTTTAAATTGGATATTTTGCGGAATAGTCAGTATCGATAGTTATTAATTTGTTTGGTATATCACAATGTGAGAATTTTTGATTTATGGTAGAGAACGTTTAATGCTTAGCTTTTTTTCAATGCTCCATATAATTTAACTAATGGCAGTGTTTTAAACATATTTCGTTTTTCATTTTTATTACTTGACCCATTTTGGGACATAAAATGTAAAAAGAGTGAATAGGAAGAGAAAGAGGAACAATAGAAAGAAAGCTGTAGAAAGTGGAACAAGAAAAGGCAAAACAATTAGTCAATGAGTTCATGGTGAATATGGGCGAGTTAGGTAGTAGATAAATTTTAACGTAGCATATCACTATTGCTAGAAAATGTACTTTGAGGTTATCTCCTGACATAATTAGAGAAAGAACACAATTGATAAAGTTCTTCGCAGCTTATTAGCGAAGCAAATTTTTTTCTTGGATAAATTATAGTCCTGAAATTCTAAATTATGGCAAATAATGTTGTCTTTTCTCGTGCAAGATTTTGCTGATAATGCTAGTAGATGGTGGCTCATGATAATGCATAGAATGGTGATGAACAATATATCGTCTATTCTTAGTAAGCAAATTTGATTAACGTGGACTGAAAATACCATATATAGCCAAGACTTATTCCTTACAGCAATTATATAGTGCAGTATTTCGTCGTTATATTTTATTTTGTGAAAAAATTAAGGGGATTTTTGCATAACTTGGAAAAAAATTCTAGAAAGGCCTGAAATTCGGTTATTGCTATAATAAAATTCTAATTCTAAGAAATGTTTGATAATACTGAAGTTGTAAAAAAGAGAGGGCTTACAGTTTTCGAATTTAATACCTTTTCTTCTTTTCGTTTGAAGAAAATATCGTTTCATATCATTTATTCAATCTTATAGCTCTTTCTTCGAGATGTCTTCAATTAATTCTTCGATTTGTACCATTTGTTCGAACCGCATTTCAAGAAAAACTTCCTGCTGACAAACAGCCTTTGCTGCGACATGTTGATCAATTAGTTAGAGTAAGTTTTTATTAATCTGAATTTACACTTAGATCTTTGATAAATTTTTTGTTTTGTTGCCACCAGATATGACTGTTCCCCAATCCCTGAGAGAGATCATAAAATTATGCTGTTTATTTCATGTGTTGGATATGAGCATTTTAATTGTTTCTTTGCGTACATTTATGTATTTTTGTATACTGTAAGATGAGTTTATATACGAAATGTTATTATTCAGTTCCAAAAGCTTTTAAATGATGACGAAATTCCTCACTTCATTTTCAGGATTACAATGATCATGCGCAAGAAATTGTGAACAAGTTGATTACCGTCATCGATCACCACCTTGTTATGCAGCTTCAAGCGGTGAGACCACATAATACACGGAGTGTCAAATGCAATTTTTTGTTTAGTACCGCGTCTTTACAGCTCTTTCAGCTAACGAAACGATTGGATTTATTGTATCTAAAAAAAGATTAAGTTTTGTTTGTAGGATAGTGTGCTGGTCGCTGTTACCTTGGTTCTATACTTCTACTTTCTTTTAGAATTCCCGATGTTTATTTGAATTTTGATAGATAACCTGATGTATTTTTGTTGCAGTGGGATGTGAAAGGCTCCATACCATCGCCAGCATTCCAACAAATGTGTCGACAGCTTGGAAAATTCTACAACGGTCTTACCGGAATTATGCCAGAAAACATGATTAAAGTAATATTTCCTGCCTAATTCTTTTTTATTTCTATTCCAATAGCATCTTTTGAAGTGAATTGCGTTTATAACTATCATTACTTTAAAATTTGGGTTTTCATGGTTGAAATTGGAATTTTTGTTTCATTTGTGGAGCGAATCCATATTATAGGGATTTCTTTTTCTGCTTTCAGGATTTGTTTTTACGAGTTCACAAGAATTTTAAGGATAATCTGAAAGCTCAATTGGATCAAATGAATATTACTCCGCACGATTCACTCACATATGGGTAAGATATTTCTGTCACTGAAAATGAGACGTTGAAATAGTATGATTAGAAAGAGGATAAAAAAATCAGTAAAAGCTAAGAAGGAACTGAAACGTAGGAGAGGTCAATCAAGATCTAAAAAAAGAAAAAGGAAAAATTTGAGCACTATTTCTTAAATTGTATTTGCATGGCCTGTGATATCCAAATTTATATATACACAATATGGCTTGGGATCGAAGCTTGTTGTTGAAGACTGAAAAGAACACTACATCAGAAAATGTATTAAAATATGAGAAATTTTCGATTAAAGATTTTTAAAGGTTTATGACAAGGATTTTCAATCATCGAATTAACGTCAGGATTTGCAAAGAAATTTCAGATTGGTGAGCCAAGAATATATGTTCTTTACCAAAAGCTTGCAAGCCATACCATGTTGCTCAGATATAAAAGATGAATCAGTTCACGAAGTTCTTTTCTCCAAGAGTCAATATTGACCAAATTCCGACATTTTGATTTTTTTATACAGCTTGTTTCAGATGAAGATAATTTAAACTTTGCTGACAGAACCTTTATGAAGATATCTGCTTGTTTCACTTATTAGATATCAACATTTAATGTTTGTTTCAAATGAAGATATTAAACTTTACTGACAGAACCTTTATGAAGATATTTGCTTGTTTCACTTATTAGATATCAATATTTAGTAAGTATCAGCATTTCATTCACTTTATTTTGTTTAAAATTGAAACTTTCATCATTTATTTTATTTGTTCAGCTGGTATCTTGAATCCCGGTTGAAGAACATGAAATACAATACATAATCTTTGTAAATTTTCGGGTCAGAGTAATTCTGACTTATTCGGCTTATTTAGAGACTGGAAATTTGAATTCAAATATTTCATTGGATTCGTCATGATTTTGCATTGTCAGTCAGTTATTTTGATTTTATGACACGATGAAAAGTTTTTCAATTCTGATGGACTTATATGTTATCAAATTTTAATTGTTGCAGTAGGTTTTTCCTGAAGATTACTTAAATAGAAATCACGTTCAACAAGAATATGTATATATAATGTCTAAAATTCATAAGTTGCTATATAATTCGTACAAATTGTTTTTTTGGGTGAAAAAGTTTCTTAGATGCCAACTATTTTTTTTTCACACTTTCTCGGATGTTTTTTGTACATTTATCTTATGCATAGAAGTAGTAAAGATGATATTTATATGTAATAAATATCAACATTTCATTCACTTTATTTTGTTTATAATGAGAAATTTCCATCAATTAGTAGTGTTTTTTCATGACGGGAACGATTCACATTTGCTATTGATTCCATTAATTGTAATTACATATTGCAATAAATAATTGGTTCGATGATATCGTACATTTTTTCATACCGGTTAGAAGATATTGAAGAGTAGTTTCAAACTAAAATGAATGAAAGATACGAAAAGTATGAACGGACGGAATATGGAATCGGAAATTGAAATATCACTTTGGCATTTTTTCAGTCAATATGGTTAAGACGAATGTAAAATGAATGAAAGATACGAAAAGTATGAACGGACGGAATATGAAATCGGAAATTGAAATATCACTTTGGCATTCTTTCAGTCGATATGGTTAAAGAGAACTGTAAAAGATGATGAGCTGATTTAGTGGCATGTGTATTTTGTAATTGTTTCATAAGATTGATCAGTAACAATCATACCTTACTAACATCACTTGTTGAAAGATTATACAGGAAAATAGCTATGGTAATTGTTCCTTATCGTTTTAAATTTCTTCATTAATATTCGAAAGGTTTCTTCAATCTGAAATAAAATGACTAACAACACCAAATGCTTGGATTCGGATCCATGATAGTTTATTGATTAATCTAATTAATTAATTGATTTTGTTTTGATTGGAGGTAAAATTTTTAATTAATCATAACAATAATATAATAGAGAGAATGTGGTAATCAAACAATTATATATGATTTGTTGAAAGAAATATTACCTCACAAGTTTTCTTGCCTCATTAACAGTTCAGAATTGGGAATATTCAGAAGTTGTATCCTAAATATATTATTACAGGTGATGCGAACGAGTAAAATGGTAAATTAAAAGAAAGTGATCATTAAATTATAATTTATTTTACAATAATTCTTATTATCAAATAAGCCAATTAATCAATTAATCAATCAATCGATCAATTATTGTATCAATGATTGGCTATATGACTTATTGAACAGTTATCGCTAAAATTTATCTTAATTGAGAGAATTCAATTTAATTCGATTATTTTTCATCAATTTAAAAAATTCGTTTTAATTGTTAGTAATTTAGCTACTGACAGGTCCCATGTGGTCTAGTGGCTAGGATTCGTGGCTTTCACCCACGCGGCCCGGGTTCGATTCCCGGCATGGGAATCCGTTTTTTGCATATTTACTGGAGAAATGATTTTCGTAACTGATTTTATCATCGATATTCTCTATCAATGTCTACATTCTTCATCGAATACTTTTAGTCTTCTTTTCATTCAATAGTTGACACATGTCCGATTTTATTGTTCTAAAAGTTCTTAATTGGGTGGCGGGGAAAGGATATTTATTCACCGAATTTTTTTTTAATATTTAAATTTCACAGTTAATACAAATGATTAAATATGCTGAATTTAACAGGATATTGGATGTTATGTACAGTTGTTGTTGTTGTGGTGGTGGTGGTGATGGAATGGTGTAGTAAATATCAAAGTGATAAAATAGGAATATATCCATAATTTACATATGGTAATTCTGCAGTACAATGATGTATTTGCATGGGATAATACTATGCAAAAATTATCGCAGATATTCGTTTGAAGAATAAGGAAAAATCAGGTAAGTAATATAATATAATTAATGCAGATATTCGTTTGAAGAATAAGGAAAAATTAGGTAAGTAATATTGGATATCCCACAAAATCTTACCTGTGCTATCACTCGTATACTTTAATTGCAATATAAGTGACAGTAGCACTTCAAAATTTTGTTCTTCAAATGAAAAAGTAAAAGTGAAAGTTTTTGTAGAGGAAAATTAATTACAAATTAATAAACACACATATAATTATTTAAACAATTGCACAAATGAGAAGAGAAAAAAATAGAAATAAAATTTTCCGATACTAATAAATCATTTACCATAACGGATATTTAAAAAGAATAATGATACATGGGATTAAAATAATCTATCAGAATTGATCTTTTCTACTTCGTTTTAAATCAAAATTTTAAAATTGTCGAAAAAGAAATTATCATATTTTACAAAATTTTAAAATTATTTCTTCTCTGTCTTTTATCACTTCCTAATAAATTGGAAGTAAAAATGAAATGGCGAAGAAAATTTTCAACAAAAATAAAATTCATTCTTTCAGGTAAGTATTATTAGCTATAAAATTCATTCTTTCAGGTAAGTATTATTAGCTTTCATTTAGTTTAGTTCGTTTTTTAGTTAGATCAAGCGCTTCCAATTCGCCATTCTCATTTCTCCATCTTCCATCATAAAATCGCTTTGATACATTTATCGGATCATTTTGCGCTCGTGTAATTTCTTCTTTGGTATGCGAACGTGGCGCACTTCTTACTTCCCTAAAATTTCAATTTCATTTAATTTTACAATTTTTGATGTCACAAAAATCAGTTAATTCGTATATTAAAAATATTTCAACATAAAATTGAAACTAAATAATTTTTTTAAAGAAGAATAATTGCAATCAATAATTATTCAAATATTTACTTCTTACCTTAAATTTCATCAATTACAACAACTTACCTATTATCAGTAGTATGCCGATCAACATTATTAGTATCGTTACTTTCTAATCTTTTATGTTCCGATGCTATCTTTCGATCGCTTTCTTTATCGTTTGTTGAATCACCGGTTGAGGTACCATTAAATGGAATACATAATGATGAAGCTTGTAACAATAGCTCTACATATGCTATAACGTATACAATTTAAATTTCCGTTTTATCTCTTTCAAAGTTAAACTGTAAATTTCTATTTCATCTTTTCAAGAAGTTAAATTAATTCTACAATTAGATGAATTATTAAATGAATGAAATTAATTAATAAAATCCTATAAAATTATTTATTGGAAAAATAAAAGAAATTATTGTTTTGATTTGGAAGAGTAATTAATAATTTAACGCTAAAATTAGAATAAACTTTTAAACATTGCTATTACTTACATTGTATAAGATTTGAGAGTTCCGTATTTTGATTGTTATTACTGATAGCGATGCTTACGTTATTTTGCATATAAGCTAACTTTTCACCGGTAAGTGGATTAACACGGATTGTTTCACTATCACCTGTTTCCACGCAATTATTTTGTAATCGTAAAGTATTATAATCATGGAAAATAGTTGTTTTGCTAAAAAACATATATAAAGAATTATTGCATAGTAAAAATGATCAAAAGAAAAGTTTGGAAAATTTGTTTAATTAACCAAAATCTTTCTAATCAATATTTTTCTTTTATTTTATTTTAACTAGTGAAAAATAAAATGAAATAAAATTAAACATTTAAAATTTAACTTTAAAAAAAATTGAATAATTTCAAGTTTTTTTTAATAAATTTAATCAACAAAAATACACTTACAGTGGTGTGGCAACAACTAAGCTGTCACTACGGTTTTTGCTATCAAAAATTTGAAGTTGAACAATACGATCATAGAGTTTTAAGAATGATTCATCCATAAGAATTTCAGCAATTCCTTGCTTGAAATCTTTAATCTGCTCGGCTGATAGTGATCCCATCAATGGTTTACCATTATTATCTCTGTTTATCAAAATATTTATCGTCGTATCATAAAAATATACCAAAGAGTTTTAGACTAAAAATTCAATGACAAATGTCTTTTTCAAAAAATTTAAAATATTTCGAAATCAGTTTCATCGACTTCTTTTTCTATTTTGTGATAAGAAAATGTGATATTTCTTCCTTCCAAGCCTAACTATTGTCTTTTAAGATAGTTTATTGCCACACTCTTATTAATTACTACTAATTTTCCAAGTGATGAAATTAATTATTCAATTAAATAAATTATTTTGTATATGAGCAAATTAATTAAATACAGACACTCCTACTACTTACTACTAATTTTCCAAGTGATGAAATTAGTTATTCAATTAAATTATTGCGTATATGAGCAAATTAATTAAATACAGACACTCCTACTAATTACTACTAATTTTCCAAGTGATGAAACTAATTATTCAATTAAATTATTGTGTATATGAGCAAATTAATTAAATACAGAAAAATTAATTTTAACATTACATAGCTTACTTGTTGAAATTTGTAAAAGCAAATGAAATATAGCCAGCATTTTCGTCGCAAAATCTCAAATATATGGCTTTTGTTAAAGTACCACATTTTCTGTCATTTTCCTCAGTTGCTTTGAAAACTTTTGCAACATTTTGTGCGCTTGTAAAAGTTAGAATTCTGCAAATTAATCATAAATTAATTATCAAAAATTAATTAATTATGATAGAATTAAAAAAAACCATTTATTAAATAATCGATTAAATGACCTGTTATTATATAAATTTAACATTGATTGATATTCATTCACAGAAACTGTTGGCTTCTTTGTTTTAGCAGCTATAAATTCATTAAAATGATTAAAAATATCGTCGTACAATATCGGATTGAAATATTGATAAAAAATTCTGTGATTATTTTTACAGAAATTCAATAATTTAAGATAATATATAATTAATAGGATAATTTTACTTATATAATTAATATCAATAAAATGTGGTTAAATGATCGAAGCAAACCAAAAATAAATGATTAATTAAATAATTGTTATATCGTAAATCTTTTAAAAGTATATCATTTTTTAATATCAAAAAGAAATTATAATTTTGTCTTTGAATATTTCATTCATTTAAATTATTAAAATTTTTAATTAATTTAAATTAATTAAAATATTTAGTAATTATTTGTTATTTTTAATTTCTTAAATAATAAAAATTAAAAATGATTATAATTATGAATTCAATTATATTTCTCAAGCTAATATTCACACACATATTAAAATTTAAATACGAATTTCCTACATTTTTTATCAATATTAAATATTGCTGGACAAAATTTGTGACCAACATCAATTATTATTTCCGTTGCACGATATAACCATTGCCAAAGATTATGCTGTAATACGGTATTACCATCCGCAAGACTTATACATTTATTCTGTAAAAATATTTTATTATTAAATTTGAATTTAAGTATTGCTTATTTCAATACATATATTCCTGTTGAAAATTTCACCTTATCCATTTTTAAGTTATCAAATAAAAATTTAAGTAACTTACCATCATAAGTTCATTTTTAGTAACTAATACATTATCCATTACCATTTCGGTTAATAATCGTTGCTTAAGTTCAATTATACGATTATTTCCTTTATTACTGCTATTCTTAATATTACCAAAAAAATATTTCTCCAATTGTTCATATTCCTGTTCATTAGCTTTCCGGATCCTGGAATATTTTAATTTCTTAATATGCTTTTCTCTTCTAATTAATCCATTAATATATTTATATTTATATTTTCTCTTATTCATTAATTTTCCTACAAATTATAGGAAATTAATTTCTTTCCATACCTTGGATAAAATAACATGCATTGAACATGTAGTAATTCATCGATATCAAGTGCACGTGCTGAGCTCAATTGCGCTTTTACGAAATATTTCAATGCTTTCTTCAAAATACCCCATGGTACTTTTTGCTTATTACTATTCTGTGTGATATCTTCGTTATCACTTGGATGATCATGCTAAAATTTGAAATGTTATCAACATTCGAAGAGAAACTTTAAAATATTTATTTTCAAACAAATTCGCTCAATAAATTGTTACAAAGCAAAAACAATACTATAAAATTAATTTTTGAAATTCAAATAATTTTTCACTTATAAGTTTTAAAATTATTGCTACAGCTATTTATTGATGATACGAAAATAAAAATTTGAATATTTCCTAACAAATTGCTCTTGATCTAGCAATCGTGGCCAATAGATAAAATTTAACAACGATTCGGTTTGATCATTAGTTATCGCAATGAGGAATTCATGTGATAGAACAACCTGTAATACTTCGATTCATAAAGCTACTATGTCTATTTCAAAAGATATCTTCGTCTTTTATTAATTTCCATTTGCCCTATTATTTCTATTATTATTTCTTCAATACGGGAAAGTATATTTGAAATATAACTTACGTGTTTTACGATTAATTTATTTCCAATGTTTAACGCAACATCCATTTGAATTGCATAACGTGTCGATAATTGACGTCGATCAATCATCGAATTTAACGTAACACCCTGAAAAATAGGGTATTACATCCACATTATAATAATTTCTCATTACAACTGAACTTTTATCATACTAGATTATCACACCTTATCATATCTGAATCATAACAATTGGACAAATGAAAGAAAAAGAGAAGAGAAGGAAATTATAAATTTCAGAAATATATTTTCAATATCATCTGATTAGAATTTTAAGCAATCTTTGCAAACCAGCTCCGGAAATATCGCGCATAGTGTTCCGTGTTCATACTTGAAATCAGTTTTTTTCACATTTTCACCATATTGCTTTGATAAAATACTGGCAGTGAATTCAGGTGATGCTTGGCTTATTAACAATTTTCCATTCATATTCACTACTACACCATGTTGATCGTGATATTTGGTCCCTGATATACCTTCACGTTGAGTTAAAATTAAACGACCAGCTGTTTGCCTATAACTTTTTATTAAAATCATTAATCGTGATCCTTTTACGTATATAATTATCTGATTGTAAAACTCTATACTTATGCCAAAGTGTTGTTGAAAAGTTATGAAATCCTCCAAAATGGTACCTTTCGCTTGAATCACTAGATAATTTGACGAGTGTGGCACGAAAAAATGCTTCTACAACACGTGGATTCGACTTATCCAAATTAGGCTCAGCTATTGCACAAACTCTGAATTACAATCTCAAATATTATCAATTTTTGAAAAACATTCAAAAAATTTTACAAAAACTTAACAAAGAAAGGATATTATAATTATCGCAATGCTAATGCAATAATTTCTACGATATTTTCTACAAAACATGATGGAAAATATGCTATTGATAAGATTAAATTTTGATCACGAAAATCATACCGTACTCTCATCGTTGGATGTGATGTACGACATTTGACAACATTTCGAGCGCGATGTATCAGTGGAGCAAAATCTAATTCCACGCCAATTAGGCTATTATCACCATCGGGACATTTTTCATAATGTGTTTTTGGCCATTCGATTATAATGGATCTAAGAATGAAGTGCACATTTCAAATAAAGAAATTTTTCTTTTCATTGAAAGAATTTGATTAATTAACAATTATTTGTTTTATTCATTTCCTTCCTGCATGTTATAAAATTGTAATCAATGGAATCAGAAGCCGAACGTCGCCAAATGAAAAGCATTAGCCTACGATATGTCACAAGGAAGATAATCGCAAATTTGTTAAAAACAAGATTTTCTGCTTTTTCGCTTCATTTACTGATTAGTTTCTGATACCTATGATTCAGAATTAAGAATCCTAGGCAAGTGGAACTAATATCCATATGTTTCCTTGATTTTATGAAAGTTTCCAGGGAAAGCTGTGACAGATAGTTAGGCCATGCATGAATATCACTCTGTCAAACTTTCTATGAGACATTTCCTATATTTCATAAACAGTTTATTGAATACCTTGCTTTTAAAATTAAATGACACTTACAAAGATATGAAAAAGACTTACTCTTGGATGATCTGTTCGATAAGCGCTAATTGGGCCTGATATTGCTCATTAGGTAATTGCGCTGTTGATACGGCACTTAGCAATGATGCAAATCTAAAACGTGAAATGAAGTATTGGAAGAGCAATTGGATCAAATTCGCAAACTAAAAATTAGCCTTATGATTAGACTAATAGAATTATCTTGAAATATTTTTTCTCAAAGTATTATTCTTAGAATAGTTTGAAAATATCAAGAACTATTTACAATAATGCCTCAAAGAACTATCTGTTACCATTCGGCTGGAAGAAAAGAATTTTCTCTAATTGCTCTTTTATAGAATATTCCTATCAGTCTAAAAATAGAAATGCGAAGTTTTGGTTTCAATCAGAAGTATGATCAATTTTCGGTAATATCAGAAGTAGTAATCAGAAGTAGATCAATAATTTAGAATAAACAATACTTTGACATCACCCCGAGTTCATCCGTTTTACAAGGTTGCACCAACAAGCTTGCCTTTCGTTGACAATTCAACCACTGAAAACTTAAATTAAATGAACAAGCAAAATTATTAAATGATTTGTAAATGTTGTAATTTCTACTAATATATTAATTCTTTCCGTAATTCCAATCCTTTTTGCTTTTTTCAATTCTATTAAAGTATTTCAAATTTAACTATACTAATAATTTTAACTATACTGATAATTAACTCTACTGTTAATTTCTGATAATTTATTAAGTTGAATTAATTAAATTAAAAATGAAATTAATGCGTTATTGATTTGATAATAATTAATTTTATCCAATTCATTTTCTTCCTCTTTGTTTTCATTTATTTAATGTTTTGAAAAATTTTTATAAAACCTTTTGTTTTTCACCCATTAGTGTTGCAAGCTTTCTTCGGATGTGATATAAATTTGCAATACTTTTTTGAAATGCGTTATCATCACCAAAAGTATCATTTTTCGAATTGAAATTATTACTTGAAACAGGTGAGCTCATGACACCTGAAAGTGATTTCTTATGATAGCATGAAATTTCATGATTATTAAACACAATTCAGGAAGGGATAATTTAATGGTTAGGATTGAGTTAGCTCATTTTTGAATGATATTTTAAAAATTTCACATTTCCACAGTAATGATTGATAGTCTCAATTAATACCAAAAGAATGCAATAGACTAACATTAAATATAGCATTATCGATTATCGACATATTTTTATTTTTCTAAGATTAAATCTTCCGAAGGTGAGTAAATAGCATTTGAAGCTCATTTTACTGATTGAAGGAATGAAATGTTTCAAGAAGATGATGTGGATTGAGCTATTGCATAGTATTTCTTTTGATACTTTCATTTAAATTATTAAAATTTAAATTATTGAAAAACTTTTTTAAAAAATTCAAAAAAGCATTTTGATATATTTTGCAATGTATTATAATATTATAAACTTGAAGTAATTTAATAAATTTCTAAATTAAAATTAAAGTTTTTTTTTTAAATTAAATTAATATCTTATAGTTATGACGAAAAAGATAATAATAATGATAGTGATAATGATAATGATTTGAAGTTAATAAAAAGGGAAAAAATGAAGTACATAGAAAGAAGAAGAAAGAGCAAGCAGAAACAGAGCTACTCTGATAACGTTCAAACAATGAACATATATATTTATACAATCTTTCCCGTATGTTTGTATGCTTTTGTATGATATAAGCTCCGTTCAATTTCATGCAAGCAATGATATGATATGATATGATAAGAGATGTTCTATTAATCAAACGTTTAACATACCACACCATCATATTAGATAATTTTTGAGCAAATAGCATATGAAATTAAACAACCCTTTTATTTACTTTTATATACTTTGATATAGTTTTAGCAATGAACGACAAGGAAATGATTAAATTCTCATTTTGCTAACTTTCACAACTATTTCCACATCAATCACAGCAACTAAACTATTAGTATATTTATATCACAACAACTAAACTATTGGTATATTTATATCACAGTAATTAAACTATTGGTATATTTATATCACAGCAACTAACTATTAGTATATTTATATCAATTAAACCGTAGTATATTTATATCAGTATATTTATATCAATTAATATTTATATCAATTTATATCAATTAAGCAATTAAACCACTGGTATATTATATACATATAATTTTTGGGAACAAATAAAAAGCTTAGAAATGGTTTGATCTTCGATTGCATCACTTTTAATTGATGTAAATTTTCAAAATGGATTTTTTATAAAATACGCAATAATTGTCAAAACAAAAGGAAGCAAAAAACAAATAATATTATTTTGTGACAGTCGTATTCTTTTCTCTCTCTCTTTCTTTTTACATTTGATTCATTTAAAGTGAGATTAGCAAAAGTTGAATTATATTAAATTGAATATTTCAATTAATGTAAAAGAATGGGATGTTATCAGAGTTAAGCTTAGAATGATAAAGAGAGAGAAAGAGAGAGAGAGAGAGAAATCTGTCATTAATACATATTTCTTCCTGTACTTCATTTCTTCCATTCCAACCTTTTTTGATGTTTACATACAAAAATCACCTTTCTTTCTCATCAACAATCTTATCATTAAGGAAATATATTTTGGCCAACATTCCTAAGCACATCTCTTTTACATTCTCATTTCTCTTGCAAGTCAAAAATTATCAAATTGATAATAATACTTTTTTATATCATATCATCTTATCATATACACATATCAGTCATACAATAAATAATATTAGACATAATTTATTATGCAATAAATCTCCTTTCATAAATAAAACGATTAAAATACAATTAATGAATAAATCATAATAATATTTATATGATAATCAAAAATATGATTAATTTAATGCTAATTATCATAATTACTGTTACAGCTATAATATCATTCATTAAATCTGTCAACTACTACTATATGTACAAACTTATACAACCAAATAATTATCATTATAAGGTATAGTTTTTATTATTACAGTAATAAAAATATAATAAACATAGAGATATCTTAAATAGAAGTATTGGAGAAACTTCCATAATGTTATTTGTTATCAGATATTTACTTCTTAGATATTTGATATTATTACTTATTACCTTTTCAGATTTTAATTATTGCAAATTTTAATTATTCCATTTATGATACAATATTTTGTATTATTTAATCGAATACTGTTTATAATAATTTATCATTAAATATGACAATTTTACAACCTCCCTGGATGATTTCAATTTTACAATATAAATTGTCCTGTTTTGCTTGATTATTATTCATATTATTCAAATTTAGTTTAATATTCCGGAATGCATTTATGTCAATAGTTGAAGAGATTGTTGGTTTATTGTGAAATATTCCGAATTCTATTCAATTTAAAAACAGATCAAAGCCATATCTGTCCTTTATTTTTCTTTCTCTTTCTATTTATAAATTTTAATATGAGGGCATATTTGAATATCAGAAATACGGAAAATATACTAACAATTGTATTTTCCTAATTATTGGATTAAGCCTATATCGCTGTTTACAATTATTATCGATTATTATCGATTCAACCTATTGCAATTTTCAATCCCTCAAAATTAAATATTCTTCTATTACCATTTCTTCTGAAGTCTGATAGTTCCACTAATATCTTCCGGTTCCTTTTTTTTAGTTAATATTATTTTCGATAATTTATCTTATTTATCGCCTTCGCACTATTGCTGAATTTATTATTTCCGATTATAGAATGAAATGCTTTTTAATTCTTTCCGTTTTTTTGATAATCTTCCGGTTTTCCAATCAGTAAAAATGCTCAGTAATTGTCATAAAATTGATTTTTTTTTATGAATAAGTTTTAATTTAATTTAGCTTAATTACATTTAATTAATGTAATTTAATTAATTATTCATTTATTTCTTTCATTTTTCGTTTGTTTACTTTCACATTGCGCATACTTTTTTTTGCAAGTTATTTTTCAATTTTTTAAAACAATCTTTTAAATAATTTCATAAATGTTTTTAATTGCTACTGTAATTAATAATTTACGATCCATTGAAATGCATTGGAACGCAGGAAATCAGCCAAATAATATTTCATATTGTTTAATACAATTATATGATATTTGGACTAGATAATGTTTAATAAAGTTATATTGTTTTCAACAGGTTAAAAAGATTTAATTGGGAAATGGTTATAGGTATGCGGTAAGACATGTCAATTAATTTGGCTAATTAATAAATTATAATTAAGCTGGCTCAATAATAAATTATTTAAATAGCTAATTAATTCAATTATTTAAAATCATGGAAACATATAATTTTTGTAGAGGAAAAGGGAATTTTCATGCTTCATGCAAAGATCAAAATATCTTTCAATTAGTTGACAGTTAAACATCATTACTATAAGTTATATTACTTGAATTCGTTTTCTATTAGTAATAATTTGTCAATTCGGAAAAAAACGGAGTGAAAAAATGAAGTGTCAATATGAACTTCGGTAAATTAGATCATTATTGACTGATAAGGAATGAATTAAGAGAGATGAATAATGATTTATTATCACTCATTCATTTTACAGATAAAATTCTTATCCAACTATCAGCAATCAATTTTTTTGCTTTTGTTTTTTGATGACAAATAGTGAATGTTATCATGAGATAATTTAAATGAGGATAACATTTTGAAAACTTTTAACCTAATTATTTTTTCCAAATTATCTCTAATTCAGAAATTGTCAATATTATCCGTTCTGTTATCTGTTTCTTTATATGTAAAGGTAGGTGTACTTTGGAAATTTTCAAATGATAAAATGATATGTTAGGTTTGTTTTGCACTTTAAATTGAAGTATGCATTTTCGTTATCATTGTTATTGTGATAATGAAAAATAATACTTTTAGATTAAAATTTTTTTTTACAAAATTTAAATTAGCATCAAAGATCAATAAACATAGCAAACAAATTCAGTTTTTCTCGATACGACGATATGTTATGGAACACTCGAAGAGACATTTTAAACATAGCATCAATTATACAGCTATTTTTCTACTTAATTCCATGTTTTTGTTTTGGATCGATACCATTATGGCATTGTATTCCAACTTGCGTTCAAGGTTTGATGCATTAATTAATTGTTTAAAACAAAGGGGAATAAGTTAAAGCATTGTGATATAAGATGAAACGAGATGAAGTGAAGTGAACAAAAAATTGAGATATGAGTGAAGCATTTCTTAAGCAAAATCAGATGATTAATACTTCAAATATTCAAAATAAATTTTTTGTTGCTCTTTAGGAAAATTAATTAATAAGTGAATAACTTTTATAAAAAATTTCAGTCCCGATAATAAGACAACTGGAATTATCGCCATCATTATCATTTCCACCTTTATCAATGTCGCGCGGTGAAGATCACACAAAACAACAACAGATTCAATTGCAATCGCAGAAACAATATATTTTAGGCGACAACCATCGAAAGTATTACAGTCCATTAGGTGATTTTTATCAATTCAATGGTGTAAACCTCCCGCAACAACAACAACAACAATATGATGAAGACGAGTCGTGGCAACCTTTTCACCATAGTGATGAACCAATCATATATATCGCTGAAAGTTAGATTTCAAAAAATTTAACAACTGGAATATGATTTAACTAAATTAAAAATAATGAATCTCTCATTCAGTCAATAAAAAGTTAATCTTATAAAGTTGTAATAAAAAACTGGTCAAAAAATAATATTTGAAAATGTTCAAACAATCTGTGTAATTGATATGCTGAATTATTAGATATAGCTAGAATCAAATTAGTAGAGTTTCCAATTAATTTAGTATAGTAAGCAGTATATGATATTCAATTTGAATATCGAATTGAATAAGAATTAAAAACAACATAATTAATTGCTATAAGTAGCAAAGGTGAATTACACTTAATTCGAAATCAATAATCGAAAACGAATTCAAGCAACACCTAATCCATATGATGAAATTGTCGATGGAACAAGACTGATACCGATACAGCATCAACTTTTACCTATGTTTAATCACTATGATGATGATTATGATATATCGAATCGTACAACTAGTATGTATCTATCACCGATATCAACGATGGAACGCACTTTCGAAAGTAAAGCTTTACATTGACTATCACATTAAACGTATTTCGATATGGAACGACATTTTTTGTTTAGCACTACTCATTTAGTATCATGTTCCTCTTGTGCCAGTGGTATAATTAATTCTGTATCAAATTAAGCCCAATTGTAGTATTTCTACAGTGCTGAACAGAAATTGATTACGGTATCACACCATGCTTCTTGGCATAGTATGGTATGGTGATGAGATGGAGAACTTTCTTCTATTATTATTAGTAGTCCCTGCAAATATTTCTGTAGCAAAGCAAAAGTCAGTACCACGATGGTAGATGATAATTTCTATAGAGTACATCGTTTGAAGATCAAAAAACTAATAAATCCTGACCAAACACCATGCAAGTTTGTTATCTTCAAGTTTTACGAAATTTAAAGGAAAAATTTATTCGAAGTTAGTTAAAGCCAAAATTTCCAAAATTATGAATTATTCAAATTATTAGATTGAAAACATCTTCAGATCCAAAGGATAAATTACAACCGCCATCATTTAACGTGGTGAAACGGCAAAAAACCTATTCAGCCAAGAATCCGGCAAGTTGTGAATGTCTTTTAATAACTTGGTTTTAAGAAATTGAACTTGTTGCTGATTTGATATTACACATGTTTCATCCTCAAGTGACTGAAATTCAAGTTTTGCTTCAAATTCGAGACCTCACCTAAATTTCAAATTCAAAAAACAAATGAATTAATAGTGCTAAAGTTTTAGTTCCGACGGAATTATCTTGCAAGACGGGCTGCATTTCCATCGACTGTGTGCAACAGCAGAAGGCTTAGAAAGGTTATATTACAGGTAAACAGCTACTTTCCAACATTTGAAATCAACCAATAGTCATTTTTTAAAGCATAATTAGATACCGCTTTATCACGATGTATAGGTAACAACGACTTATTAATCATAATTGAGAATGTCGCAATGTGTTCGCCAAATGCCTCAGTTAGCAGTCTTCAGTCTTAGACAAAAAGTTTATGTATAACAACTATAAGTTACTTTACTATAGTGCGTTATCAGTTAAACCTAAGCAATAGGAATTCTAATGGACGATGTTATAAAATTTAATGTGCAGGCAATAACAACTGATGTATCAGAATCGAAACGTAGCGTGATGGAAGCAGCTGAATATGCCTATCATGGGATTAAATTTGACGTGATTTGCGCTGAAGGTGATTTCAGTTATACCATCCATGCAAAGAAATATTGTGAAGTTACCAAAGAAAATATGACTTGTTTTGCATTTCGATAAAAATATTCTAATTATCATTACGTCAGTGTGTACATATTTTGTAACATTTGAAACTGTCACGTCATGTCATTTGTTAATGAGTATTTCAACGAAGAGAACTGCTTAAGACGTGAAATCTCGATTTCCTAATTATAATGGACGTCACTTCGAAAAGGAAAAGAGGTAATGATCACGTCTGAAATGCAACGTTTCTGCAGTAAATGCTGCCGAATATACTTTACAGCGATAAATTTCAAATGGCCAACAATAAACAATTTGTATCGGATTGGCATAAGTGTTCAGATTTACCAGAAGTACCGAGAGATATCTATCATCTTTACATTCTATCAGTCCTATCCTGCACTATTACTCAGACTTCGAAATGAGTTAGAAATTGAAAAGGAAGAAACATCACGATAGGAGCAGAGAGAATCTGCTGAATGAAATATTTTAATAAATAAAGCTGCAAATGTTGAAAGTGGAGAAAAAATGTTAATAAATTGAAGAGTGAATAGAATTGGTGAGTAACTGTGAGAGATAATAGCATGATAGATTGAGAGTATAGTATAGAGAATTACGACATTTGATTAAAGGAGTGGTTGAAAAGATTTAGAGAAGGAGAGTGAGATTCTTTATTTGATTGATTGCATGGATGAATGCTGTTAACAAACTGATATTATAAAAAGAAGGTCACCGTCCTGGAATTTCATTCCTGTTTTAATAGGTCATTGTCTTAAGGACATGCATATATGGTCAGTTTGTTAGGAGCTTTCATTATTTCCTTCTTTTCTATTCCTACAAAATTCTGATCTATTTTATTCCCATAACTATTATGATAAAGGTGAAACGATTCGTTCTTTTTTTCATCTTTTTCAAAACAATATTTTTAAAAAAAAGGAATATTGTATTAAAACACTGATAATGCAGTTCGTTTTTCAGGAATATATTTCTGATAACAATGAGTACCATTCTATAATGTAACGAGGCCGAAATGGCTCTTTTGAAAGCATTCCAAAAACAATCAGAAAAGAAACCATGTCCGGTATGTGGACATCTTGTTACACGAGGATTGTATCGGTCACATTTGGATCGCTGCAAGTTGCAACCCGACGATGATGATTGCCGGGTATGTTATGAAAGCTTCTCATAGGAATTTTCTTTTACCCTATTCAAGTTTTACTTTATTATTTACTATCTGCAAAGATATTTTCATAGGAGCCTGGAATTTACGAATAATTGAGAAGTTAAATTGTCATTGGAGTCATGCCATTACTCAGAAAAGTTAGGCTGAAACTTTAAACATGTTTAATTTTTAGATTACTATTATATATAGATTTTAGACTACATTATTCGATGTAACAGGTATGAAAATTGAAATTTATATTAAATTTCAGATCATCGCTGAAGTCTGTACTAAGAGTAGAAAACGAGAAGCTGCCAACAGTTTGACTTGTTCAGACAGCAGTGATGATTTGTTCGACTGTCTGAATCACGAGAATGTAGAAAAGGAACAAGAATTTAAAGAGAGGGATCCTGAGAGTCTTCTTCCCGATGTTGCCAACGATGAAGAAGTTTCAATTGACACGAACGAACAGAAGCAATTAGCTGAAGTGAAGGAAAAAATGAAGGACGAGATGTCGACTGAAGCAATTAGTAAAACACCTATCAGTTTTGCTAGAAAACGCGCGAAAAAAATTGAGGTTATTACTGATGAACGAAAGAGATGAATTAGACAACTGGATCTAAGCAATGCAAGGCACACCCAATCACAGCCAAAAATCGCATTGCAAAGCACACCCAATCATAGCCAAAAATCGCATTGCACAAAGTAGTAATGAAAGAATTTTTGTTTAATGCATTAATCGATTATTTGCTAGCAGTTTAGGTTTTTCCATATGAATCAACAAAAACATTGGAAGTTATCGAGAAAGTTGATTCTGATCTCCTCATATCACTAGAAAGCAAAAATGAAACATGGGCAAGCAGGGCAACAGATTCAGTGGCTTTGAAGGAGTATTCTGAAAATGAAAAAGTGGAGAACAAGCAGAATGAAGCAAAATATTTGAATAACAGGTTTAAGCTTACATTCTACCAATACACTTTGTCTCTGACCAGAAATGCATTTTTAAAAAACACCAATTATCTTTTCATTTTACCTAAGTTATGACGTACTCCAAAGAAGAATTTTTTTCTCCACTGCGTAATATAATAATTAGCATTAAAAAATCGAATAGTAAATCTGTGCAAAATTAATACGTTTTGTCCTTTAGGAATTTTTTTCACTGCCCGGCTACGACTAGTCGTGATATTAAAGTGGAAATTAAACTAGAAGCAGAGCAATTGGGTAATATTAAATCCTACCTTGACATTTGTGATTGCAATCTTGTAAAGAGTAGTCAAATCCTGTCAAATTACAAAGACCCTGCGATTGAAAATGCTCAAGTCGGTTCACCGTATTATCTTACCTTATTTCATAAAATAATGAAGCGGGTTCGTTTTTTTTCAAAGTTTCTAGAGTTTTTTTTCCTACGTATGTATAGAAATTTCTAGAATCGAAACTTTCTGTTGTAGTTAAAAGTAGGATTTCGTTCATTACAGTTTATGGATATGCATTGAAGAATTATTTCTAATTTAACTTGATAAATCACTCTGCAGGTTTTTTGTAATGAAGGTCAGTATGGTGAGGTGCAGTTCTGGGGTGAACGTTTGCATTTGCTAGAGAAATTCGTAGCGCTATCAGGTATTTTTTTGTCGACTAAAATATTTTTGGAATAGAACTCATTTTCGTCTCTTCTTCCTTTTTCATTATGAGAATTTATCAAAATTATGAAAAATGGGTGCAGTTTTGTTCTTTAGATCAGAGTAAACACTTGCTAATTCGATTGTTTCTTCGCAAAAGAAAATGGTTGATAGCGGATAAACTTTCGTGAGTTAATTTATTGTTTCATATTTTATTGCTTTTTCGATTTATCTCACACTTTTCATAACAAGAGAAAGTAAATATTCAGATTAAAGTTATTTACTTTAGATACGCCAATGTCTCCTCGTCATTGAATCCATTATTTGAAGAATTATTGCAAGCTGAACTCGTTGATTCAAGTTAGTAAATTTCATGTTTGAAAGTAGTTTGACCACTTTTTTATCAGCAGGCTTTTTTTGTTTCATTTTACCTACTTTTGGTTTATATCATAGTTTTGTGGAAAACATATCTGCAAGAATACTGAGATTGCAGGAAATATTTATCATCCACTATTTCTTATCTCCTAATTGTTAATATACAACAAAGATTCTGTGTTAATGAAAGGCGTATTTGAGGTCACTCATCATTGCTGGAAATTAAAGAAGCCATACATCTCTTACATGCTTCATCGTTAAAATCTGTTGCGAAACACTTCAAATTAGATTTCAATAAAGGCAAAATTGAAATTTGTCGTTCACTGTTGACATTTGCTACGCAGAAAAATGTTTTCGGAATCACTATGAAGAAACGAGTGCTGCATAAGTAAGTGATCTTAGAATTGAATCTAAACTCAGTTTGTAGATTCTGCAGTGGAAATAGATGAATAAGTAAGCATGGACAAGGGTTCTATGGATAATTTAGCAGAGAGTGAACAAGTATTAAGATTTTTCCGTTGTTTACAACTTTGCGATTCATCGGTTTTAAATTTTATTATTAATTTAACGAAAAATCCTAGAGTCAAAGAGGAACTTGGCCAATGCTTTCGCTTACGTAAAGAGATTATGGATATTTTTTCGGCGATTTTTACAATTTATTCACCGGTGGATATGAATTCTGCATTACTTTTTGAACAGCCTTCTACTAATTTACCCTCGCAGTTATTGTAAGTTCAAGTTTCCTGAAATTTAACGAATTGAAGATGAATACATGTGCGAGTGCACCATCAAGTATTGTAAACAGTACTGTTATTTCTAACTTTCAGGTTTTATTTGCTGCAACTTGGTATTGATAAACTTCGTTTTCCTGCTCCTTATGAGCCCCGTTTGATAAATATTTATACGGACGCCGAAAAGCTTTTCAGGTAACACAGGATATTTATTCATTTGCTTTTTAATATTTAATGAGTTCTTCAACTCTGAGGAACAATTTTAAATTTGAAAGCAGTTTAGTATTCAGGTATATCAAAGCAAAGGAATTGGAAGCTGAAATAGCTGATCTAACACAGCGTGGAAGGTGGAGTGAAATAATTGATTGCGCAAAGAAAGCCCGGATCGAGATTCAAGATGCATTTGCAGTACAGCGGTAAGCAATATTCGCAAATAATTTTTCTTGTTTACCATAGCAATGAGATTACTGAAACTTTTGAATTATTGGAATGATATAAGCATCATGGCAATGGTTTTAAAGGCTATAAATGGCCTTTAAAAATGATTCATATTGTTAACTGTAAAATCATTCAGTGTAGTGCATGCGAGTTAGTTATTTTATTTCTGATTGCTTCAGCGATTCACTTATTATTATTAATCTCTCGACATTTTGCGAAATTTGTGAAATTACATCTATTTTCTTGATTTGAAATCAATAGGTTCAGTTAAGCTGTCAAGTAAATTATGATCTTTCTCCATGTTGTTGCAGGCAATTCTATGAATCTTTAATTGGTGATCTTCGACGATTCACTGATCTCCACGTGTATGCGAGGTTTATCTTTTAGTTCTTTTAATAGAATTTTTTGATGTTCACGGTTTATCGTAAAAAAGTTATCGTTCTATTGGGAAATCTAAAATGTACTGTTCTGTTATGATTTCCTGCTTCTACAATTGTCATTTTTTACACACTTCTTTCTTCTATCCAGATGCATATCACATGGTGTTGAAGCACTGGAAAGAGTCAGAAATTATACGGAAGCTGTTGCATGGTTGGAATATATGTTGCATGCTTTGGGTACGTTAATATTTACTTCTTTCAAGTATTGATTAAGTTTGTTTTCTATCTGTTAACATGGAGATCCTATTTTTTCAATTATGGATTTCTCACGTGCTGCCTGTTGGAGAAAAAAGCGTTGTTTATCGTTAATGCCTGTTTCTTCTTGCTGAATTGTTCAGAATGCTCAGATCATGAATAAATTTAATTTAATAATATTTACGAATGAAGGTTTCAATAAATGTAGCAGTGATATTTTCGAAATCCAAGTTCAGGAAGTGCGGAAAGTAGATGCTAGGATTCTTCCGACTCAGAAACTTTTGTTCATTTCCCACTTCACATCTTTTCAATGTTTTTTTATCTTTTTAGATGAGGTGCAGAAAGTTATTTCACCTAAGTTTGCTGTATATAACCATAGTATTTCAAATGCAGCTAATTTTGGTTCTTTTTAGAATTTAAACTTGTTCTTGCTAATGCACGAGGTGGATGGTGGAACCGATTAGCACTGAATTTAGATGCACATCTGAAAGATAAAGATAGAGCAATGAAAACTGTTATTGCTGGTCTAGAAGATCCTGTTTTGGGTGACAAAGATCGTTTGTCGCTGCAAGTTTGTTTATTTTTTTGAAGCTTAGATTTGGATTTATTACTTGTGTTATTGATAAACATTTCTAATTTCTTGTACTTTTTAAATTCCTTCCGACTTATTGGTAGATTCTTTTATTAGTTTTGGAGATTGTATAAGGGGCTAAGCTTATTTATGTTGCAGGATAGAGGTCGTAAACTTTGTGTAGGATGGACAGGACCTCTGAAAGAGGTGGACCTTGAAAGAATCGATATAAAAGGTACTGTAGTAGGTAAAAATCTCGGCGAAGCACGAATTAACAGATTTCTTATTGAAAGGTGTGTTTTTCTTTTGGTTTTAAATTAATAAAAAATTTCGTGTTTATTAATTTTTGATGCTCATATTTATTTGTATCTGAGTCTGTTTCAGAAATGGAATACCTTGCGAATGCAACGTTGAAGAAGTGGCACTGGATTATTATTTGAGAAAAAATGGTTTCAAAGAAGGTTTACTCATTATTTTTGTTAATTTATATAAGTATATACTGTGCAGTATGTATATGGTTAAGAATTAAATAACAACTAAGCATAGCAGCAGGCATGCACTGAAAACGTTTCAAACAAATACGGAAGACGTTATTGATCTATTAGAGGATCAACTTCAGTTGTAACTAACCATATATCGGTCTTACCAAAAACTGCGAAAAAAACGGAAAGTGAGTTTAAATACGGACTAGTAATTAAACTCGTTGACGTATAAATAGGTAAATTTCCCATTTTCATTCGCTGTTTTTTGGCGTATCTAAGAGTTTCATATTATGTTTTATGCAGGAGTGCACGCGGAAGGCACGCTCTGGCACACCATATTTGGACTTTTATTTTACGACATTATTTTCGATCCAGCTGTTGAGAATGTATGGTTCAGTGAAACACAGGTATAAAAATTCTTTTTAATGAGGTTTAAATTTTTGCTCTAGATTTTGACCTGCTTTCAGTTTCGAGTTATAAAGTGGCATTTTTTCCTTAATTAAGAGCTTATAGAGCTTGGAATGTCTCGGAATTTGTATGCTATAGTGTAAAATGTTTTTTATCTTCAGTAGCAAAGCTAAATTACTTTGCAAGCAAGCAGTTATCACTGATAAAATGAGAGACCCGTATTCATAAAAAATAAACTTCAAATTAGAAAATAGTCAATGATTATTTACAAAATCTCCATTGCTTAACTTATCCTTAGACGAATCCAGTGGATTTGAACAGCAAAACTTTCTACACCAATCGGCAGGATCTTTTCGAGTTACGTTTCAAAGAGATTGAAGAAGCAGATTTTGATGAGTTGCTACTGCAAATGGAAAAAACGTACAATGATTATTATGGAGTAACCAATTCAGAGATCGCGTGGAATTGTTTCATTAACTTTGAACAAATTAAAGTTAGCATATCCTTTCCTGTTAATTAGTCATCGAAAATTTCTTACTAGTGATAATTAACTTAATCGGTTCATTCCATAAATTGCATTTATTCGCTTCTCAGCTTTGGGAAATAGAAAAAACTGAGCATATACTAAGTCATGCTGAAATAGAAACTAAGAGCAGTATTTTGAACTTCATTGCTTGTTATCCGTTGAAAAAAATAATGACGTGGATTTTCTAGCGCTTTATGATCTGTTGTCCGATAACTGTTCTTTGCGCTAGCATTCGTCGTCTCATTGTTGATTATCGAAATTGCCGAAGTGGATTTCCTGATTTAACTATTTGGAATGATGAAAAGAAACTTCTGGCAGTATGTTCAATTGCTAGTTTTGACAACTTTTATCACAGATCCAGTCCTTTTAAAGAATGAAATTCGTCGTCATATATATTTTCGTGTTCACATTTTCAACTAAACTCATTTCTTTAAATGCAATATAGGTATAATATTAGAAAGAAAATATTCTAAGTTTCATCTTATTTTTCAAAATTTCAAAGCTCATTGCAGGTTGTAGAAGTTAAAGGTCCTGGAGATAAGTTATCAACCAAGCAACGTTTATGGTTAAATTTTTTTAAAAATCAAAATATAACTGCTCATGTTTGCCACGTTTCTGGTAAGTATAATTATCGTTTACTTACCTTGAGATTTCTAAATTGCGAGGGATTCGTCATTGTTGTTAGTTGAGGGAATTAGACTAATGCTGTGATGTTTCTGAAATTTCCCGTCAGAATTTTGTGCACTGGCACTTCTGCATTTATTATGATTTTCAGTATTTAGTTTTCGATTTTCTTTACCATGCGGTTCACTGTGCTAAATTGTTCCGTAGCATTCTTTTTTACAGCTCGAAATCCAAAGGAGCTCGATTGAGAGCACTGTGTCCTGATCTTTCTGCTTATCAAATGAGAATGCACATCAAACAAGATAGTCAGTGTATTCACATTTCTCAACTTCCAGAGATTTATTAGCCTATCATTTCAGAATGATTTTCATTTCTTTTTCTTATATTTGTAGAATAGTGTGAAAGGGAACCTTTTACAAATTTTAACAGATGCCTGGTCTAAAAAAATGTTATATTTTGAGGTGTTAGTATTCTAACGTTTTAATATATTACCTGTGTTGATGTGGAGTTACATTCAACATTGGAGTTACTTCAACAAAAATTATGAGGTGTGTGAAGTAAACAGCCTTAAAAATGAAATTTCATATTTGTTTTTAACCCAAAGAATTGTTTATTAATAAAGCTTTTAATAAAAGCAGACAAAACATTGACGCAAATAATTTTCCAAATTTAAAAGTCAAGGATGCGAATGAAGTGGTTTTTGGTAGATTAACAACGAAACTAATAGCTACCACAAAAACTGATTTACTGCATTCAGTAGGAGAAATTCGAGGTCTCATTTTTGAGGCTGTTTACTAATCGAAATTTTAGATTTTGAACATGTTTAAGAAATTAAGAGAAGTGAACCGTTGCTGCATTTAACAGTTCTACATTAATGAAATCCCAGAAATTGATCTTGTTCAAAGATCATCTTTAGAAGTAATATTTTATCAGAAATAAGAATCAAAGATTTTATTGGTTTTTGATGTAGTCTTTCCCATTTTCTGCACATTTTTGTTTAAAGCAAGAGATTGTTATTGAAATTCAACATTTTTATCCTTCGTAATTTGTTACATGTGAAATAAATGAAAAATAAACTCTCAGCAAATTTGTATTCGGTCCTCTGATTTTTTGTGCAAATAGGCCAGTGCGCAACTTTGTGATAAATGTTAATGTGCACGAAGAATTCTGTCCATAGAAAAAAAGTTCTACTAATAGAACAGTAAAGTTTGTTCAGAGATGAATCGAACACTTTGAAAACTTGTGGCAGAGATAGTAAGCAACAAGGCTGTATATTTCCTCATTTTGTATCTCCTCAAATTCACACACAGATATCTTAAAAATGCTTTTAAGTCACAGTTTTCTAATTCTATATATGCCACCTGGGAAGAGAAAGGAAAGTTTTAAATTGATATTCTGAATGTTCAATGAATTTCGATTCTATTTCAATGTGATATAAAATGCGAAATAAAATATTTGAATAAAAGGCATTAAAATATATGAACTGCCCATTAAGTTAACGAAGATAGCATATTATTTTGAATAATCTGAGTGCTTACAATGTGCAATTTGAACACTGCAACTGTAAAATTGTAATTGTAGGAAGTGCGAAATGGCTAACAATTCTTTATATATCGAAATTTTGATTTGTTTGAAATGCATTCGCTACGAATGGTTGTGTTTTTATTGACGTTGATGCGGAATATATCGATTACAATTAATTATAATCGAGGTGTCGACGATGCTAATAGAAGAATAATAGATGAACGACTTCGTAGTAATATCGCGAAATATCATAGCAACAATACTGCCCGTAGTCACGATAATATCGATAATAATCTAGAAGATATCAAATATATAAATTCTTATAACAAAGGATCGAAGGAAAAATCACTGAGGGAAGATATGTTCAAGAAGTTGAATGGGTTTGAAGTCTCCTATCCACCGGCTGAAAATCGCTTCTTCAGGTCAATGCTTAACGAAGATCTATGTAATCAATATAATTTGGAATGTATTTATGTTAGTTTTTTTTTCTCTTACAAATTTATTGGAAGTTGTTGAATTGTAATTTTTAAAATATAACATTGTCATGGATAATACTAAATTCGAAGTGATAATAATTGTTATCTAAAGCATATCACATTAAAGTGTGAGAAAATGATAGAAGTGAAATGTACTGATCGCTAGTATCATGAATACTTTGTAATTAATTAATTTTTATTGGAAATTTGTAATTAATTAATACTGAAAGCATTGGCAGCATAGGTCAGGTAATCATTATTCTAATTTCTGCAGTATCGATCGGAATATCCGCATAGTAGATTATCATATGATCCGAAAACTGATGAAGAATACAATCCATGTCATCGATTCGTTGAACCATGTTTTGGAATTTCCGAATACGATTATAAAATTGTAAAAAAATTCAAAAGTTTAAGGGATTATTAATTTGTTCTTATTTTAATATCATTTTGTGTTGTTTGTAGAAGAAAAATAATTGAATAAATGATCAAAAACGAATTTATGGAAATAATATGACAGTGATATGAATGATAAGTACATATCATTAAGATTACTTAAGCATTAACTTAATTAGTTGTATTAATATAATTAATTAGTATTAGGTCGGTTTTTCATATGAACTCCGTGATCCGCTTATTTTAAATTCATCTTTGATGGCTGTATGACAATATTATCAGAAATCAATTACCAGATTTGGGACATTTGATGGATGTGAAAAACAACCCCTCTAATTTATTCATTACTTTTTCAAATTTCCCGGATAAGTTACGCTTATATTACATAAACATCAATCTTCCGACGTTAGATTGAATTATGAGAAACGCTAAGGTAGATCAATTCTACATTAAAAAGAAAACTTTTGTTCGTTGATCTGACAGATCGATAATTTCATTTTCCATCACTTCATTTTATGTGTCCTTTGATGTGGAAAATTTCTTCAAATTACCGGGAAAAAATTATTTTACCATTTACGACAAATCTCCTTATTCTAACTAAACATTGCGAAATTGTTACTTTCAATATCAAGCAATTAGTTAATTTTAGGTAACCTTTTTAAATCGAAATTAGAAATTTAATTGTAATTGAGTTCTTTAATTTATTGATTTGAAATTTTACGGCTTTCAGCATCAAAATTCACCAGTAATTGGTGATAAATGTCTATCCTATTAGTGGACAGTCATTTTACTCATCGTATATAGCTAATATAAATTTCTTTTGTAATACACTAATAAAATATAATAACAGTTTCATGATATCATCATCAAAGTGCATTACGCTATCAATTAACAATTCTATTCTGTGAGAAACCGATTGTAGTAATTTAATATTTCAACAATCTTTTACCTATGATTGATTTACAAAACCGAACTGATTCCTGTTAATAAAATTTTACTGATAATGATAGAATGCACTTTTCTTTGTAAATAATTTTTCACAATAAAAAACAATGCTTCAAAATAGTTTTCTCATTTTTTCTTCTATTCTTTCCACTACTTTTTATTTAGCATAATTAGTGCAAAAAACTTTAACTGAGTACCAATCCATTAGGCACAAGTACCAATCCACTTAGACACAAGTACCATAGCCAAAAAGAATATGTATATGTATATGTAAGTCATCATAAAATTACGTTTCAACAAGGAGAACTGTAAACAAAATGCACTCATTAAGACAATCCAACAAAATGTTACGAAATAATAGGTTGAATGTGTGGAAATTTTGGATGGAGAAAATAGAAGATTTGAAACTCATATCTGATTAATTCGCTTTAGATCGAAATGTCATATCATAATAAAAATATAACATTCATTTTATGTTCGTAGGAAATGCTCTAAAATTGGATATACATATAATTCACATTGGAAATCAGGAAAAAAACCATTGTCGCAGATTTTCCGCAAAAGATTAATCTCTATTAAAACTAATTAACGCCTCTGTACAGTTGCGAAAACAATTTTCTTTTCTCAATAACTTTGAAGTATATCGTTTTTGATGCACTTCAATTAAACAAATATATAATCAGAAAGTTTATATTTAATTGTTTGAAAACAGATTATTTAACAGAGCATGTTGAAATTTTAAATGACTAATTTTAATGCGTAAAAAAGAATAAAATAGGCGGAAATGTCACCTTACCAAGCAATAGAATGTTTCCGCAGGTGGTATGCTAAGCAGTATGGAATCCTAAAAGTGGCATATAATGTAGAAGCTAAAAGTAACAGTTTTAGCAATTAAATATAATTTTCAATCTTTCCCATTTGTTGCTAAGCAGCATGAAAGCTATTCTTATACTGAATTTTAGGAAACTAAATAGAAATATAAATTAAATATGAAACATTGAAAAACTAATTCGAAAATTTATCTCCATGTATACCTTTCAGATTTACCAAAAGTCCTGAAGATTTCGCAGATATTCCTAAATTTCTAAAATCAAATAAACAGGAGTGTCGGAAAAAAAAGTTGTCTAATTAACGTTCCGAAACACTTTATTATATAATTACGGATGATCATAAGGTCATTTTTTATGATATGAATAATAGTATGAACGAACTGAAAGAGAGAAGTATAAATTGCAAAAAAGAGAAATCACAACGGGAACAATATTGCTAGATATCTTGCAGTACGATCAGTAACAAAATAATAAAGCAACTTCTTCCTTCGCATTCTTAGCCAGATTAGCCAGATTTTCATGGAATAGATTAGCACCAAATGAGTATGAGTAGAAAATGAGGATCGGATGTTTTTCTTAGCTAATTCACGTATTGATTAAATTCGAACAAATAAAAATCTATGCTGATGCATCTTTTTGTCAAAATTAATTGTTGCCATACGAATACACAATATTTATTCTCATCACACAAATATTAAAATTAAAATTAGATTTGACCACTCGGAAGATTAAAACCAGTTGAATAGACAGTTATATAATTAACTGATTGTTTACAATGATCACAATTTCTAGCATGGAAGACATATCACTAAGTAACTAAGATACTTCGTTTTGAACAAAAGCGGCGTCATAAATCCGGATAATAATAACCGACGTATGGTAATTATTTCCTTGTTTCTGAATATACTCGCAAAATATTTAAAATCAAAAGACTCTTTTTAAAGTAAAATCTCGCTCACAATTTTTAAAATCAAACAATCGATAAATTAGCGAATACACTGAATCATTCCCAAGTTAAAGAATATTTAAAGGAGTGCACTAATACAAAGATTCCACAGTCTTCCCGATATTGTCAGTTTATAGTTTAGTAGACGATTCAGTTGGATGTTTTTGATTTAGATATTTAGTCAAGTAATCGTCCTGAATGTTTAACTGACGACATCCCTCTAATACTTTTCTTTCAATCGTAAACAAATGTTCATCGTTAATATGCGGTGCCATTCGATGCACGCATTCCGCTAATCGTAAGACATATTCAATGTTCGTTCCACTAAGTCCATGAGCTTTAAGTATCTTAAAATTTATTTAAATTACATGAAAAAATATAAAACGCCTGCAATTATTTGTTGATTATTTATTTTAGACAAGATTAAAGTTTATAAAAGCAACTTGGAGTATAGAAGATATAAAATAAGAAACATAAGTGTTACGTTAAAATAAATAAAATTCCCCTCTCCTCCTTCCAAAAAGAAGGAAAAAAAACGAAATCTCACTTCCTTGATTTCTGATTGTGATTCCTAATTTTCTTGAGGGTGGTAATAGCTTAGTACACAGAATCATACAAGAGCAACACCGTAAGAAGAAATAGAGAATGACTTACGGTGCATACGATGCTTTTCTCGTCGGTAGGACCCGTGAAATAGGGATTCTTATCCTCAGCAGCCAAATAAACATTTATTGGAAAAAAGGGATCACCATTGTCGGGATAAAACATCACTTCTTTTCTCTAAAATGACAGGATTTAATTAATAGAAATACAAAAACAAATATTCGCCGCTTTTTCAATCAATAAGACAATATATGAAATCTTTCAAACTACAAATAGGGATAAAACCTTTTAACAAAAAAAAGAAATTTAACTTCATTAAGGTTAAACTCACCAAATAGCCAGCCTTTTCTCGTAAATCTAAATATTTGATTGTATCCGATGCTTGCTCCTCAGCAACTTCGTAAGCTAAACCCCAACACGAACCATTTTCTTCTGCTACTAATGTTACTGTACGACCAGGCTGCAAATGCTTTATTTTATCACAAGAAAAGATTCCAATAAATGCAAATTCAATAAAATTGTCATCTTGAACAAGTGAGATTCTTTTATCCAGTAAAACATAACACAATTAGTTTCATCGCCAGGACATCACCGCATAACTTTTGATGTCACAAAGATATATTGTGGTGTCATCTCTTACCCACTGGCCGTGGAAAAAGAACCAACACTGCTCGCTGTGCCTCTGTGATCGGGACTGAGCTGCCAAAATCGGCGTGAATAACCTCGTACAACGCCAGGAACAATCCTCCGGTATGGGAAATCTGTATACCACAGTAGCGAACCGTAACCAAATATCCACATCTTTCTGAAAAAAAATATGCAAAAATTTCACTCGAAAATAACTCGCCAATAACTTTCGAATTTTCCCACAACTCCTTCAGCAAATCTTTCCTTAGAGAAAGCATTTCTGCCAGATATCTCAAAAATTACTGTAAGCTTCTGAGGTCTTTGAAATTCGTAATAAACTACTGGACCCCAAGCATTTCTTTATCTCATAGGTAAGGCATCATCGGAACAAGAGAAATCTCTCACTCAAGCATCGATGTAACTAAAATAACCCCACATGCAGCTGATTTCGGGTAAACATAATCTCCAAATGAATTATTCGACTTCAAGTCTAAAAAATATTTCGTAAATGCAAGTCGCCCACTTCTTCATGCTTTCCTGCTTCTTAAATAATTCGCTGCCAAACTCTTCTTTATGCTTTTCTTCTTCTTAAATAATTAATTGGATGCCAAGCCCCATAAAGCTTTAAATATTTATATATAAATTTTAAATGATATGTGCAAAACAAGGATGTGATTCACAATCTTTATTAGAAAACAAAACATAAATAAAAAAATCAAACAGCATCCCGACTCCTTCTTAAGCTGAATTTATTAAAAAGACAGTAAAAATCATCTCATATTAAAAAGATAGAAATACAATCAAATCATGCAAAGCTATCATGGAAATGGTATCCTTTGGAAATCTTTTCTGATCACTCAAAAGATAGAAATTTAAATTAAAAATTAAAAAAAAAGCAAATAGAGGAAAAAATCCTACAATACTCTAGAAACAAACAAAACAAAGAAGCAATCTCGACAAACTTTCTAATTTGAAACTAAATTATGGTCATATAGAATTGATATCAAGTCCTTTCGCATAATTTTTCCTTTCAAATACTTTTATTATTGAAGTCAATGATTTTTTTGATTTAAAGATTTTTTTTTCAGAAATTTTCAACAGCAAAAGATTGGTCATTTTATTTTTATAGATTGTCTTTTCTTAATTTCATTTTTTTGTTCATTTTTTCTTTTTTGGTTCCTTTGGGTATATATCGGGTATATATTTTATCTCGTAGGTTTTTTTTTATAAGGACTATTATCTTGGAAAATTAGGATCTTGTAAATGGTAACAATAAAAATTTTTCAGTACTTTTTTACAATATCTTTCCTGTTGGGGACGACCAGATGTCAGAAAAACAAAGTAAACCACTTCTTCTCCAAAAGAGGTTGATGGAAGTGGTCACAAAGCATTCTATGTCATTAGTCTGCAGCTGACAGAGTATAAAGACAGCAGTTTCGAATCCTTTACAAACTATAAAAAAATCAACCAAACTCATTCAGGTAATCAATAATGAAACGGAAGTACATTACGAAACGGAGAGAAAAAGAAAGAAAGAGAGCGAAAGATCGAAAGATGTTATACAGACGAATTATCGGAGTAAACGGCGAAACGATTCTTCACCTCGCTGGCGACAATTGATGCTACCATCTGCACGGTTGCCATAGCGCCTGAGCCGGTATCACCACACATTAATTCTTTTTCAATTGGTGGTATTTCCTGAAAAGAAATTCGGATTAATGCAATTAAACGTTCACTGAAAATCTGACGGTGAGTAAAAAATGTTTTCACGAACTGAACTACTTTTTCAAAATTCAAAATAACAGGTTAGTGGTATATCAACTATTGGGAAGCAACCAACTGTTTTCTGGATGCGTCCATTGGCCTTCATACTCATTTTACATTTTTTAATGAAGCTTAAAAAACAAAAAACATTGTACTATTTTTTTTTTTGAAATGTTTTGTGAAAGATTGCATCTGCAATTAGAACTACAAGTTCCACATAATTCTGATAAAAAACGAAGGAATCATTAGGAAACACATCAACCTTATATCGTAACAATTCCTTCAAAACTTTGCGATGCTGATACGTTAGCGGATTTTCCCACATCGCAACATTCATTGCTGGTGCATAGTACAAAGGTTTTCGAGGATCCCATGCGCGCACAATCGATAGCAAAATGTTATCGCATATTCCATTCGCTATTTTACCCATCGAATTTGCATCTAATGGTGCAATTAACATCGCGTCCGACCATTTTCTCAATTCTAAAAATATAAATTTCCATAAATCTAGTACTGTGAAAAAATCATCCATTTAACACTAAAATTTCAAGAAAATATGGAACTAAACCTATCAAAACAGAAAGGGGCTCTTCATAAATGTATACAGACAACAACAAATGAACAAAGAGATGCTGAAATGAAAAAGTATTGCCATTTGTTGATCAATCAACAATGCACGGTTGAAGCCAATGGCAATTTAACGGAGAATGAAATGTCCTCAGTAGCCTGACGCCGACAATGTCAGCGTTGTTCGTTGATCTCTACGCATGTAAGATATGCAGTCATACTACTAATCGATCAATGGCAGTTTTTATAGTCCAAACCAATTCTGTAAGAGCTAACCAATATGTAGAACTGGATCACCACGTTTCTTCCACATGTTCCACTCATCCAAATCATTATAAATGGGAACATCAAATGCTGATTCATCAATAAATGTTCGAGCGGCATCGGTTGCAACTACTCGAATGACCTTGATAAATTCACATGAATCAGTAACAAGATCGATCTGCACACAGTTTCGGTATTTTTGTTACTTTTGAAAATTCAAAGATTCTCATATGAACCACTGCACATAGACATACCAATTTTTCCCCAGGGCTATTCTTATGAAGTTCCGTGATAAGCTCAGGAAGCTTAATTGACGCGACTGATCCAGTAATACCAATCAAAAGATGAAATTTACCGCCTTGTCGAGCGAACGAATGATCTGGTCCATAAGGCGCTCGCGTTTTTATGTTTTGAGTCTGGAAATTGAGAAATTTGTAAACAACAAAATATTACTTGACTCCACTATTATTCAAATTACCGAAACTATTGGCTGCTACTGAATGCACCGCCTTCATTCATGCATAGGAAATGTGAAATTTATTAAAACCCAGAATTTTTAAAAGCCTTGACTTACATCAACCGTTGTTACATCAATCGGTGCATAGCTCGTCTCAGATTCATCTTCAATTCGAGCTTTTTTCAATATAACAGGTGGTTGACCGTCCGGCATCTCCTGTTCTTCAAAAACACCGCCTTCAACAACCTCCACCTGACTTCTGTCTAACTCTGCGTTCGACCTACGTAAAATACGTCTTCCAAGCACTGGTGCTTCCTGCTCCGTAACATACAAGGATGTTGGCCGCGGGTGGATGTACTGAAAGACAAAACATCCAATAAAACACGATCTCACCTCATTGTAGAAATTATGAGGAAGCTATAGACATTGTCAACCTCACTGTTCAGCTGCAGTAAGTATCTAGTGCGGGCTAATTGTCTCCGACAAAGTTTTACATTTCTTGATAAAAACATATTTTGTATGAAAACGAATTAACAGATTATTGCTTGTATTAAAACGTGATATGTAAATAAATGTAAAGTTTGCAATGCATACTATCTGCTTCAAAAAATGTAGATCTATAAAAATTGTCTGTAAAAATAATTAATCAAGAATCAGTTGGACTTCAAACAAAGTTGGACAAAAAAGGTTGCAGAACCAATCCTAACCACGCCACCAATAAATAGAACAGATCAAGTTCTCTTGAATTTAAGGAATACAGGATCATACAAATTCGTAAAACGGTGGTAGCACGAGCTGTCCGCTTGTACAAAATCAAAACAACGTAATCTTTGATTCAGTTGAATGATTTAGATACTTTTTCGATCATATAAATGAGATAGGTTTATGACTCAAATATACATCCAAATAACAAATCCAAAATCATTACTAACCAAACTATTCCTGGCCAGCTTCTGCCGAAATGATTTCATTACATTCCTCACTTGTTCCTTGTTACGTAATCTACGTGGAGTAACTCGTGAGCTGCTTGCGCATTGATCATAAATACTTTGCTCCGTCAATCGGTCATAGATCTAATGAAAGAAACATTTTGGAACTCAGAAGTCGAAAGTTGAAAGTTTTTGCTTTGAAACTATTTGAAAATCCTGATACAAATTTAATTTATATCCGCTTCTTGATAAGATATCCCAAAGTTCCGATGTTAAACTTCATTTCAGGTTATTACTGACCCAAAAACAACATTAATCATTAATTAATGCAAAACTAGCTGAGACATCGTTACAACTGCAGAGATGAAGGGAAAAAAATGATGTAATCAAAATCAAATGATTTGGTTTTTTGCATTGCTCGAACCTGTATAATTATGAAATTGTAATTGTCTATGATCTTCCCGTTATTTCGCATCATAAGTAATATGCAGTAAAAAGACCGCTAGTTGTTTCTCAAAGATTTCATTATTCAAATGGCGATATATAGCGAAAACGATTTTTGGCATGAACAGTTGCATTTGGATCAAAATTTAGGAGATACAGCAGTATCTTATAATTCCAGTGAACAGTACCATTGCAACACGTTAACACGCCTCTTTTAGATTATAATTTTTAAATTTACCTCAACCGCATTATTGTTTATAATACTTTGTTCTTTCACTTCTTGTAATATAATTGGTAATGTACGAAGAAATGGCTGATTAGTTCGTTTAGCATTTCCATGTGGTGCATTGTCAGACACTTGGGCTGCTGCCACATGGTCGCCAATATAATGGAAAAGTACCAAACCACATGGCTCTCGCGAATATTCGCAACGTCTGAAAATTCTGGTTAACTAAAAATTCCTTCTTTTTTCCAAAGATCTGCTCAAGTGAGAGTACTGGAACATGAATCGGAGAGGTAAATGATATATAATTGTTAAATCAGATTTGTCTTCAAACAGAACAAGCCGGATTCAATACTGCTAAAATATATCTCATTGCTACGTATTAAGATAAAACAGACTCACGTGTGTAGACAAAAAGATAGTTCGACAAGCAGCAAATGAACAGCTAGTCTACTGAGGTTCGAAAGGCAATTGGAATTCCACGTTAAAATAATCATCCTAATGACCATTACGCCCAATCATTTCAAGCAGTCCTTCGCCTAATCAAGACTCTATAAGATGAAATCTCCGGAAAAAAAATATCAGCTATCGTAATTAATCCACTGTTATCTCATTAGGTTCATCTTGTTTTAAAAAAAGATAAGTTAGGAAGTATAAATAAAGATCACACTTACATAAATCTATCATCACCATGTGGATCATTTTTGCAATAAAGTAAATTGTATCGCTTTTGCAATCCGTTGCTCAAATTATGAACACCCTTGGAATTCCCCCATCGATAGCCATCAACACGGAAAGTGCGTCGTACTTGGTCATCATTTAGGGTACCACGTGGATAGAGAGTACAGTCATATACCACAATGGTACCACCATCTGGTCGATACATTGGTCCATTGGTACATATCAAATTCCGATTTTTTTCAACTTTGTCTGCAAAGGAAAAAATGGCTGTGTGAGGAAATGGAAGGATAAAGCATGAATAATGGAAGGATTATTCATGGAACAACCTAATCTTATAACTATTTACTGATCACGACTTATCCGCTTATTCTTTGTTCGCAATTCCTGGAAGCGGAAAAAGAAACGCAAATCAATCATATCAAATAAGAACATCAGAAGGGTCAGACACTTCGCTGAAAGGATCAACGATAAATCCTGAGAAAAAACTCCATTTGGAACACATTTTCGGAATACATCAAACATTTGCCGATTAGTAAGGAAGATAATACAAATTACCAATGACTGTAATTTTCAATGAATTTCACTAAACAATCATTAAATCAGATCAGGTAGATTATCTTCCTGCTTTCAAAATATTTGTTTTTTGTAAAAAGGGACTGCTTTCAAAATATTTGTTTTTTGAAAACAAACGAACTCTAACAATGCCTTGGTTTTCTCACGATGCAATAGAATTTTCAATTTAATCCTGTTTGCAAGCTTAGATGATTTGAAAAGGAATTTAAATTTCGATCCTTAAATTCTCTTCTAGGTTCAAGCCATTGATGTGTTATGGTGGGCAAATCGAGCACAGAGATTCAATTGAATTTCACCAGTTGCCTTCATGTCATCATTTCTACTATGTCAATTCTGTGTATCTTATAACACTGAATAAGCGGATTGCTTTGACAAACCAACATTTAAATTTATTTTGAAAATTGTTTCTTTCATGCATCGTCATCAAAGCTTTGTTTAAAGCTTTTGACAGATTGGGAACCCTCAACTTTTGTCGTGTATTTTGTCGAAAATTGGGGGTCTGAACGACCTCACCTAACGATCCCATTGACCTATGTAATGCCGTACGTACGTCCCTTTCTATATGATCATCGTTTACAGTTATCACCAGGGGTTCTTCCCTGGGTAAAAAACGGCATCAACCAGATAGGGATTATTCCGGCACGGTGCAAACCACTCTTCCGAGCTTGGACGAAGGTAAAACGTGGACTTACCCGATGGGTAAAACGTGGACTTACCGAGAACAGCGCTGTACTGATCGAGCGTCAAGGGGTTGGGCACGCCGGTCCGGTAGACTATGCGTGGCTTCCGTAGGTAAGGCTCGTCCATCTCACGCCCTCTTACCTGTCAAATTTGTCCAATCCAATTAAATTACTTTTCAGCGTGAAATTTCTCAAATGAACCTAGCCTTCCGACATGTCTATCCCTAGTCTAACATGACGTTCACGTAACGAAATACTTCCCATACTTCCCTACCTACGTATGAATTGCGCAAAAACTTCGCTAACCGGGACAGCTTAGGAGGAGTCAGTGTAAGACCCGAGTGTTGTGCTACAGCTAAAAAGCCGTTTTAAAATACACTCAGACTTTATTGTCCATAAACCAGAAGTTTATGCAGCTAAGATTTAAGCATCAATGTACTTTCGATTGATATAACTTTTTTACCCACTCGTTTGCTTTCCAAAATTCCCATCTTTTTACGTGATGCAGGAAGTGAAAGTACTGACATTAAGCAGTAATGATATTTTCACCTATGCTGTCAATAATGTAATTTTCATTATTGTCTCTGTTTTTGAATGATTTCAATTATGCTAGTTAAGAGTTATTCAGAAGACATTATACTGTAACACTGCTGTACTGTTTTTTTTTCCGCGGACTGCGATAAAGCTATTCTACTAAGGCACAGGCATGATTAAAGATAAAACTAGATTCACCTCTTATGTCAAGGATTCTATCTGTTATTGCTTCAAATCTCTTTCTCTTTCTCTCTCTCTCTCTAATGGCCTTCCTTGAGAAATTATTTCCGCTAATCTCTTAAAAGTAGTATACGTATTTATAATATTTTTTTTCGAATTTTTGTCTCTCTTACTCCCTCTAGGACCATAAAATTTCCTAAATATATGTTTAACTAATTTTTGTGGCTGGCTCATATGAATACACATCAATAAGGTTTCTCACAAAAAAATCTCGATATATCAGGATTTCGACTCTTGCCATACTAAACTTTTATCGATTCCTCGATTCTGCTGAGCATCTTTCCTTTTGAATTCCTCGAAACAAAGGGACTTTTCTGTTTCCTGAAGAACATATACTGGAGTATATTAAGTGATTGAAATATGAATTACATATTAATCGCGTGGTGAATGCATTTTACGTGTTAAATATGTGTCTGAAAAAAGTCACGTCTTGCTCAAGTCCCCACATGCCGAGATGTGTAAATTAAACATTAGTTGGCACATTTGATTTGTATAGTAAAGGACTTGGAAACTGTTTTGTTTGAATTAAAAATTTTTTGTTTGAAAATTTTTTTAGTATTTAAATGATTTAAACATCATTATCTAAAACATTCATTTTTCCATAATCGAATATCCAATCGAGATGTACTTGGTGAAATATTTTTTAAATTAGCGAACAGATTTTTCATGATGATTCTAGGATGTTTGCTATCAAGATAGCGAACAATCCCGATACTTATAATAATTTTTTGTGATTTGTTGAAAATTTTGCTATGGATCAGTTAGCACAAGTTAAAATAAAATTTTAAATTGATATTGATTTCATAAAAATTTATGTTACAACATTGAAAGCATTCTTACCGTTTATTTGTTCGATCAGCTGTGTGAAGTGTTGGAAACATCTCTTGATAATGTCAACAATAAGACAGAGTTATTAATTACACTTCGTTGCTTGCTGTCATCAAAATATCAAGTGAGTTTTTCAGCTACTGAATATTGAACTTTTGTTATTGTTCAACTTTAGAGGACAGTCTTTGCTGATAGCGAAGAAATATAAAATGCAGCCCATCTTGATTTGTACATCATATCTTTTTGTTTCAAATTTTAAAGCTACGGAATTTTGGGATTTTAAAAACGGTGGATGATGAAAACTGTCATCGAAGCTATTTTGTAGAATCATTGTAAATGTTGAGCATCATAAAAAGTTTTAATGTTACAGATTATTTTAATTAAAATGCGCTGCGGTAGTTGTGTTTCAGATCATAATTGTAAAAGTATATTCCTTTAAAGACCGGATGATGTGTCAATCATGAAGTTGAACTAAGTGTCGAAATAAAATAATGAATTCATGCTCATATAATGAGTTTGGCTGCGGTGATAAATATAGTTAGGAACGGATAGTTCAGAGTTCTCTTTTCGTATATCAAATCATTTTGCGAATTGCCATTTGTATATGGGCATATATGGGAAACATAATACATGTTTCAGCTTCTCCTATAAAACCTAGGGTGATCAATTCATCGAATTGTTGAAGCACTTGGCAAACTTTTAGAAGCTGTTAAGTTTCATAAGTCTTAAAGACACGATGATGTATTGGTTGGCTGTAGTCAATGAATCAGAACATCAATAACATAATTATAAGGTAAATTTGTGATCTGGGAATATTTTACATCAAATATATATATGATGCACTCTACACAGATGATATTTGTCAATTTCTGGCTACCACGTATCTGTCGTGATCGACCTCTTGATGCTCACTAACATTGTTCAACTTATACTTCAATTTGCTGTACTGCTATTTTTTTTATACGGTTGAGTGGAAGAAAGTTATACAGTTATTTGTCTTATACAATTACCTGTATTATCTTATACAATTGAGTGGAAGGAAACAATTTAAGACGTATAGGTCAGTCTATCAATCTTGTAAATAATTTCATATTTATCTTTGTGATTGGATCATTATAAATTTTGGTTGTTCAAGTTGTGTGAGAAGTAGGACAGAGACACGGGGACAAGGACTTGTTTGTTCCTATTTCGGCTGATCCATTCTTTCTGTTTATTTATTTACTCGTTGTTCCACAGAAATGGTGAAATATTTTCGGTGGATGTTAAAAATTATTCGCTAATATTTAGCGGTAGTGAGCAAAAGTTCATAGCATATAGAACATATCACCTGGCGTTAGAGTAACTATGTCCTAGTTGCACTATTTAAATTTTGCTTTGTATTATCATATCTCCTCAATTACCCGTACCCAATATATCTTCATGAAAAACTGGGGTTATAAATTTCCTCGTTTACATTATGTGGCAACGCCTTTCTATTTTTGGGATGAAATTCGTTTTGTTTATTTCAATAGAATCATTTTAGTGGATCCTTTTTTTTTCGCATTTGCTATGGATGGATTCTGTACTATGATTATAGCAAATCGGTTAATTAGCGTACATTATTCATTCTTTTGCTCTTTCAGTGCGATAATATTTTTTTTCAGCTTGTTAAAAATGGTTTATTGAGTGATGTTTGGTTTAAAAGGGGGAAAAAAAGGCACAAATCAACAAGAGCCCACTGGATCATCTGATATAAATGTGCGTCACATAGAGTGCTCAATATCGGTATTTTTTTTGGAGTAATTATCTGCTTTGCCAAGTTTTTATTTCTCAACAGCTGTTAAGAATCAGTCCGATTCACCTTTGATTCGTCTGCCTCACTCTTGTCTTTTTTACTTCAAGCTATGTATATATGATATGCTTATTAGCTACCGAGTGCGGTAGCGTGAATAATAGCTTCGAAAGGTTTCGTCTGCTTCAAAGTATTTCTCTGTAAAATGAGTTTTATTGATTGTCACTTCTCTATATGTTTAATCTTCATTATGTTTCAGAAGTCATCAAACAATAGTGCATCATCAGGAAAAAAGTATGTTACGTTGCAGAATGTCAAACAGGTGTCAGTTGTAGAATACTGAATTTCAAAACATTTGCGAGCCTTCACGTACAGATCTTCATTTGGGACAATTAGGAAAAAATTGAACTACTTTTAGCTGAGCTTTAGTGTTTTTTTAATCGACGATTTTACTAGATTACGTCGCTTTTTTCTGGCCATTTTTAAAATTTTGGAAACTCATCTTTTTTTTCTCCCTTCTTATCTTTGCTATTTTTTAATTGATATGAACTGTCGTTTGGTAATGTTCTTTAAGATGGAAGCTTCATTTAACATTTCATTTCGCTGCAACATATATCCTAGACTATAATGATCGGCTGGGTATCCGGGAACAGAACCATTATTAATGAAATGGAACATATATGGACCAGCTTCTTTATTTTGTAATTGCACGTCTTGAATATTTGAAAAGATCGTTTCTTCAACTACTCTTATTCAGGATGAAGCATCGACTAATGTATCAGAGTTGAAATCAACAGAAAAAATACAAGCGCTTGATTGTTCACCAGTCGGTTATACATTAAGGTGCAATGCGTTCTTATATATAAAAATATATAATTCGTAGAAATCTATCTCTAAATATTTTTAGTGAGCACTGTTTTGTAAAGATCCATAGAAAAGTTCGAAAAGCCATGTGAAATTAACTTTGTCATTATATACTCGATCTATGCATGAAATTTGATATCTGCATTGAAACCGGAAGAACAACACTAAGGAAGCACTAATTTGATCATAGAATTAAATTCAAATTGTAGGAGTTCAAAATTTATAAATGTATGAGCAACTGCCGCACAGTGTTTATGAAATCTGATGAAATAAGTTATAAATTGTTAACAGTTATCTACATTGAGATTTTATCAGAAAATTTGGGTGTACATTAATAATAACAGCCAAAAACTTCTTTTTTGATATATCATTTTTGATACATGATAATTTGATATCAAGCAGAATTTCAAGAATAAATTTTTTTAGAAACTTAGTATTATTTTTCAAATATTTATAATATATTTACTGAGAATTTTATAGAATATGAATTTTATAGAACCAGAAAGTAAAAGCTTATCTAGATTGGACAGTGGTACATAAAATTAAATTACTTTTTGAGAGTTTAAAGTCGTTTGTCATTTGAAGTCATTTAAGCCATTTGCTTGATATGAACTTGCACGATTGTTCACAGCAGTCAACACCTATCAGTTCGAGATTAGACGACTCGTTGGATATTACGATTTATTGGGCTGATGAAAAAGGTCGATTTTTTTTTAGTTAAGGGGGAAAGCGAAAAAATTTTAACTTTGCTTAAAAGCGAACAGTGGACTACCAGGAAACATGATCAGATTTTCGAGTTGAACTAAGAATATGGGCTAGCGAAATCGTTGTGGATTCTTTTGTTAGGCAAAATTTTTGTATGGATCGAAATTTTTTTCCACTTCTTCAAATTCTTTCGAGAAGCATTACCTATTTCGTGCCAGACGATTTAACAGAGTTTACGGAACATACTAATTTTAATTTGCATCACATTTTCTACATCTCGTAATCGGTACTCTATACAACTTTTTTTTCAACCATATTGATCTCCCAAGTTAAATCATCAAATTCCTAACTGCTGTTTGCTGCAAAATTTTGAGTGCATACATGCTTATCCTATCCTCTTTTGTCGTTACTTGTTTGATTCTCTTTTTATTTTCATAAAGCATCAATACATTAACGATAAAATTTCATACGCTCTCTGATTGCTTAATGATTTTGAATTCAGTTTTGCGCGACTAGTGGCTGCTTTCCTTTCTTCCATTTACAAGTGTCATATTTTCTTATGCAATTTCAAGAATATCCTGGTAAATATATTGCCAATTTCTCTTCTATGAGCACAATTTGTGAGTTTCCTTTTATTACAGGTCTTAAATTTTCTCTAGTTGGTGGTAAATTGGCAACAGCATCGAGCTTGTTGTTATTACTCGCTGATCATCTGGGCGTTGTTGTTGAAGTTTTCAAGGAAGTATGTGCTCTCTGGATGGTATCGAGCTTGTTAGGTATATTGAAACTTGTATTTAAATAATAATTGCCTTTTTTCTATTTTGTTTTTCCTTTTATATTTCAAAACTGGTTTTTTTCAAAGTTCAATTTTGCAGAAGTGCAACTGAAACCACATCATAATCCATATGAGATTCGGAAAAAGTGGATACAATTCCTGCAGAGATTTACGAATGCTGAAAGTAGTGAATTAGTTGCTGACGAACTGCTTCTTGTATTGAAACGAACTATACAACTTTCCGTTGATATATTTCAAAACTGGTTTTTTTTCAAAATTCAATTTTGCAGAAGTGCAACTGAAACCACATCATAATCCATATGAGATTCGGAAAAATTGGATACAATTCCTGCAGAGATTTACGAGTGCTGAAAGTAGTGAATTAGTTGCTGACGAACCGCTTCTTGTATTGAAACGAAATGTGCAACTATCCGTTGAACGAGAACGTGAAGTAAAGCTTGTTTTAACGTTTTTTTTACACCGCGTTGATAAGCAATAACAAAAAAAATCTGAAGTGAAAGTGCCAGAAACTGCAAAATAAATCCAAAAGATTAGAAAAACATAATATTAATTTATTGCTCGAATCGATATGACTCGAATCGAATCGGTATTCTAAAATCATCATGTCAAATTAATGTACAAACTCTTCAGTTGGATCAAGAATACACGAATGAGATATTAACGGAGATATTGTATAGAAGTGCAAAGCAGGAAGTTTTAAATGGTCGATATGTATGTGATATCGAATTAAACACAAAATTGGCAGCCTTACAGATGGCTATCGATTTAGAACCGAATGATGACACGGATATACTGGATATGTTTGTGTTTGTGACTTTTATCATTAATCATAGTCTCAAATTTTTGGAGAAATACGATTATTTTATAGAATTTTAAGTCGGAAGAGGGAAGGGATACTGTTTACTTTGTTTCCGCTTCTGATTAGAAATTTGAATTTTGGAATCTGTCTATTAATGAATTTATTTTTGTCACAGTAAAGATAAATAATTTTGCAGAGAAGAGATAGAGACGTTTTTTCCGCTAAGGTATCGACATAATGTCAGGACCTTCCATTTATTTGGTATTCCGATTGTCGGTTGCAGGGGTTTAGAAACACGAGTTCTTGAAGAATATCAAAATATAAGACTGAATTTCGAGAGCAAACATAACTGCCGAAAGGCATATCTCAATATCATCCGCAACATACCTTTTTATGGGTAAGTTTGTATTCCTATTTTTCTGTATTTGCTAAAGATTTCCCGAAATTAGTTCTAATTCAAATAATTATTCTTTTTGCAAAGACAATTATGGTTATTATTTGATATAATTCGAGTAACCAATTCTTATCTTTCTCTGTTATGCATGCTTCAAAGAGGAATAGCGCTTGTAATGAATTATAAAATACCGATTTGGGCTATACATATGAATGAAGTTACTTCACACTCACTGCATCAATTAAAATTTCTGATGCAATACTTTATTCATATGTTTAGGGCTGCTTTTTTTCGTGGGTACGTTGAACGACCATCAGGAGGACCGTTGGAAGAAATCAAAAAAATGATATTTCCGATGACATTGCCGGATATTCCGGTGTCGTTTATGCACATTAGTTTTCATTTTGGTTTCTTTTGAGGATTTCATTCTAAATTTGAAATTCCTTCACTATTGTTGCTCTTTAGAAATGACTGAACTGAGCATTAGTAATAAGTACATATGATGAAATGTATAGTGTTTCTAAAATCATGTCGAAGTCTTTGTTTTAAAATTGTTCATTGAAAATATACATTGTTTCATTTCAGGTTCTTATTGGAATCAGTTGTGGATACGTTACATTGATTAATGAAACAAAACAAGAAGTTCTTCTCGTGCAGCGATTGCTTGATTGCGCTTGCCGCTATTTCGATGAGTTAGTTTCTTTAGATTCTCATCATAACTCTTGAATTTTAACGATAGCATGTAGTCGTTTACTTGCAATAGTGATAAAATTTATCGAAAATGTTCCATTTTAAGTAAAATTTTTGTAGTTCCTTTCCACTGGTTGATTTTGAGGTTGGGTTTCGTGATATAAGATGAATAAAATTTAGTCTCAAGTATATTGCAATTTTTCTTTTGGTTATTCTCGTACATGTTTCATATTTGTTCATTGTGGTCATTATATTATTATTATGATTACAGATATTTTTCAATCCCTCTGTTGTATATATTTAGTATTACCATGCAGAATTTCATTAAATTTCAATCATAACTTTCAGTCATTTCGAAGTTGCTATGTCAGCAGTTGGTTTATCTGATTACCCATGTTTCCTCTTGACTTTTCCGGATAGTTCATTTATAGTCAACCATAGTTTAAACTCCGAAGCTGAAGTGTTAAAATTTTCGGAAAAAATGAAGGTGCTTCAGGTATAACATTTGTAATACAAAGTAGTTTTAATATTTTCAACTTGTCCATGTGATTGTTTCTTATTCATTTCACTTTTAAGAATTAGTCTGAGACTAATTTTATGACTTCTGAATTTAATTTGTCTCTTTGCAAACTATATTCTTGAATAACAGAAGTGCTACTAGTTTTGCTTGTCTTTTTCATGAGATATTTTTGACCTTTCTAGGTATTTAGCAAACAAGCTATCATGATTGAAGCACTCATAAATTCTTTAACCAAACTGCTGCAACGAAACAGTAGTGGTGTAATACCAAACTTGAAGCATAGTTGCCGAAAGATAGGAGTACAGGACGAATCGCCAGATTTTGAGGGAGCATTATTGAGTGATAGCAGTCCTGATGATAATGCACATATAACTAACATCTCAGTAAGTGATTTGGAAAGTTTGTTTTCGTCAAAAATGTCGTGTAGAAGTATCCTTAGCTGACAAATTATTACAGTTCTTTGCATGCCACATTATAATGTGAGAATTGTAACAACTGATAAAACACCATAGTTGTGGATTACTATCTATAAGATGTAAATTCTGATACAGTCTTGTAAGAAATGAGCGATACACAAGTTACGAGATTCTATGGTGTAAGTACATATCAAGATTTCGTATTTCTGCATTATTCGAAAATGTAGAGTATTGCCTATACATCTCGTGTAATGTTCTGAATTCGTGGTCCAATGAAACCATTTTGTTTTATCCTTCCAATAAAAACAGTGAGCAGTACATGGTCCCTAACTTCGGGATTTATTTAAAACTTCTGGAACATGTTTTCAATAGTACTTTTTGATTTTGCTTTTACTGATGTTTTTGAAGGTAAATGGACATTATGTCCACCAAAATCAAAGCTACGGTGTGGAAATTATTGGTAATCGGTGCTCGAGTTCGTCAAATTCATCTCGTACAAATGAGCAAGCTAGAGGAAATAGTAACGTTCGCCGAAGTTTGGTAAACGTCTATAGCTTACCAAGCCCATTTATCAGCCGTGTCAATAAACTATGTTTGGCCACACTTGATGCTGATGGCCACTGTGTGGAAGCACAGGGTTCATTAAGAGTTTTGCTAGAAGTGATGTAATTATGACATTTTCTCAAGATTTAGTTTATTGACCAATATGAAGTGTTTTTTTTCTGTCTGAATAAATCATCCTTGATTTCTACTGTTTTCCTCACTGACTATTCTGTAAATAATTTCTATTAGAGAAATTACTGTTTTCGTGTTTTTCAGTTTCTGTTCATTTTTTATTTATGTTCTTGTTCAGAAACATTAAGGAAATTCTAATTTAGTTGTTTATTGTACCATAGGAAGAGGGACTATGTTGACGTTGACACAAATGATAAGCATATTGCAGGAGCTTCTTGAGGAAGTAGGATAATTTCTTTTTCCTCACTCAATTTTGAGCAAAAAGATTTTCTCCTGAAGAATCACGGAATAGTAATGGAATATTCAAGAAATATTTGCCATCAAAATGCAAATTGTCAGTTAAAGACTAACATTTGCAGAAATATTCCGATTGAACAATTAATGAATGCAATGTTTTAATTAATGAATGCAATGCTTTTCATGTTTTAAATATATTTACATTAAGCAAATATATTTATATTGAGTTTTAAATATATTAACATTAAGTAAACAGTTTGGGAGAGTTCGTTTGTTTTCCATGGTATCATATACTTTCAATGAGAAAATGAGTTGTCAGGACGATCTCTATTCCTGTACAATTAGTTTGTGATCGAAGATAAAAGCCATGCTTGTAAGTTGATATTGTCATATAGCTACAGATGTCCATCCATGTCAAAGTAGCCATTCCTTGGAGTTTGTCGTATTGTCTTGATTTTGTTAGCCTCTATGCATATCACGTAAATTGATGCAGCTAAGATGATCGTATCAAGTTTGGTAAATTTCAATATGGTCGGTTATAATATGTCGACAAAGAATAATGATTAGTTATGATAAGGATGATGGTTGCATGTTAATTTATAGTTCGTTTCAAAAGTGTCATATGTTATGATCGGCAATGTAAGTAAACTGAGTCATTCTTGTGACTTAGCTTGTCGAGTATGGTGCGTACAATGGAATCATGCTGGCACGACGCTTGCAAGTTGTGGTGATGATAAAACGATCAAATTATGGAAACGTATTGATGGTAATTTTCGGTTTCTTGTTATTTTCAAATTTTTTTTTGATTCAAAATTATGGTTTCATACTATATTGAGTGACTTACTGGGAGTTGCTCGTTCAAAGATTTCAAGTCATGGGGAATGAGAAGGATGAGGATGAGAAGATTTTGGGAGGATTTTGATATCATAGTTTAGTCTTAGAACTGAATTATGCTACTCGTTAATCATAGTTTAAAACGTTTCTTTATCTTACTTTGATTTCATATTTTATTTAATTGACGATACAATGAGGCTAAGAAGGTTTAGAAATTGGCGGTTGTTTATAAAAAGGGATATCAATATGTGTTTCCAAATTGTGTTTAAACGTCGAGAACAGTGAGCTTTCAAGATTTTATCGTTTCTTATGCGCCATTTATTTATCGATAACTCTAAGTTATATTGCTTCACTTTTCGTGAAGGCACTGATTTAAATCAAATTCATGTGTACTCGGATATAAAACTGATAGCGAGCAGTCATAATATTAACTTGATTAATGCTTCTATTGCGAATATGCGGAATCTTCATTTGAAAATAAATTCTAAAAGATTCAGATGCGCCGTATTTGGTATATTCTGGAACAATAAGCGGGTCTCATAATAGAGCTATTCGACACGTCGCATTTTCACCAGATGACAAATTCTTGGCTTCAGCTGGTTTTGATGCTGCTGTCGTTGTGCATCAGCTGTGCAAGTAAGTATTATTTTAGAGCGAAACTCACTTAAATTACAAAGTTTATGCAAATTTTTGGCAAGTTGGCATTATTGTTACGGAAGAAAGTATTTGATTGTAATAAGTTGATATGTTATTACTTTTGATGGATTGATGTCCAAAACTTGAATTCCAGTTCCATGGTTGCATTGGAATCTGGTGGAGATATTCACTTTCCATCAGTCAATGGGAAGGATATAATCCGAGACAGATGATGAACTAATCCTTCCCAGACTAGAAAGTTAACTTTTGTCACCAACCAAAGTTTAAAAAATTAGATTGACTTCTAGAATTTCTGCAAAAATGATTCTTGCAATTATAAAGCTGTAACATTTAAACATTTGTATGGTTAATGTCAAATTTTTTTGCAGCAATGATTATGAAGAAATAAATCGTTTGGAAGGACATGAGAATGAAGTGAAATGTTGTGCGTTTTCACCATCCGGTGAATATTTGGCAACTTGCAGTCGCGATAAATCGGTTTGGTTCTGGCAATGTAAGTAACTGATGTATTTAGATCAAAAAATAGAGCATTATTTTCACACTTTCGAGTTTTTTTTTACATAAACAAATTAATTCTAGTAGACGAAAGCGAAGATTTTGAGGTCGCATCAATTTTGCAATCTCACACGCAAGACGTCAAATTTGTGGTATGGCATCCAGTTGATGAGGTATTTGCGAAGCATCTTAAAATCTTTTCTTTCTGATATGAAGTCACTAAAAAATTGTAAGCAATGATTTAACGTCTCTCATCATAAACGTATTCTGTAGAAGTCTCTATCGCTTTTCTGTTATTACTAGTTGACGAACTGTACCGTATTTTGAGCGTTTAGTCGTTTTTTTCCATAATGCCTAAAATCTGTATGAAGAAAAAAGTCTGTTAATTGATTAACAGCAATGATAATGCGTATAATTTAGTTATTGGTATCATGCAGTTATGATTGCTCCATTCGATTTTATCGTTTTGATGGTGAGGATTGGATAACACAAGAAAAGATTGACAATGCGCATCAATCTACTGTATGGTCAGCTGATTTCTCAGATGATGGTAACTCTCTTGTAACTGTAGGAGCTGATTTTTGTGTCAATGTGAGGATTGCTTTTATTTAATTATTCCATATTCTGAGTTGTGACCAATTTTTTCGTTGCAAAATCGAGTTCATTGATTAATTTGTAAACTTTGTTTTTATTGCCACTGAATTTGTGCATATAGTATTTAGTGTTAGTTTAGTCAAGGAATAGTTCACGCGATCTATCAGATGTTTTAAACAGAAATTTTTGGAGATTCCTGGGAGGAGAGTGCTGAACTGCAAATGGTTATGTCGTATATGGGCTAATTACCAATATACTGACTATCTCGACTTTAAAGAAACATGAATAGAGTGAGGGGAATAATCTGATGATTGGAATGAAGCATTCTAACTTTCATTAGTTCTGTAGTTGCTGTTTTGTCGTTCGGTGCCAAAAGAGGTTTCACAGGATAATCAACTCATCTTGATTTTAGATTTGGATGAGACAAGAAATGAATTTATCGGCTTCTAGAAGTAAGTGGAATAAGGTAACGAGTGTATGCGTGAAAACGAGATGGCCACTATACACAGTTTCGTGGAATAAGTTACATGGTATTATTGCTGTTGGTGGAGGAGATAGTAAAATAAGGTTTGCCATTCGTGAAAAGTTTAATCTGTATTGCATTTTGAATATTCCTGTCTTTTTTTGGTAACCTGCTCTAAGGAACATTATTTCATATTAAGCCGCTGTTCATCCTTTACGTTCCTTCTGCCTATCAGCAACAGTATTTTGAGAGCATATATCTGACTTCAAAAGATCTGGTAGCGTTCGGGAATATCACTGCGTAAATTTCAACTTCATCTATCTACATGTTCCTCACCTAAGCTTACTTGCATACAGAAATAAAGCCGCACTGAATGCCGATAGTTCAGGAGTTGGTGACTCTTGTGTCTGGCGATTTTTTATTCTGTTTTTAGGTTTTACAACTTAAATAATTCAACAAGCAGCCCAGTCCTAGAAGAATGTTTTGGAAGCTGCAAACTTCCTTCAGAAATTAACTGTTTGAATTGGAATCCGCTTGAAAGTAGATTGCTTACTGTTGCTACGGATGGTGGTGAAATTAATATGATTCAAATAAGTTTATGATTATGCTTATGCTATGAATTGTTGATTGGCCAAAATATCCTTCTGTATTATGCAGCAGTTTCCCAGTGTTTTCTTAATCTGTTTATTCATAGTTTTGTTACATTTGGATGCTGATAAAGATTTTATAGCGAGTTCCAGCCTTTTTAGTATTTTTTTAAAAACGTTAAGAATCTGAATGGAGAAGGTATTTGAAAGTACTTCCTTATCACGTGTTATTCCTTCAAATAAATAAGAAAACATTGGACATCGTAATAAAAGGTTGAAAAACTTGGAATATTTGTGAGAATGCATGCTGGAGATCCAGTCGGATAAATGCATGACATTTTAGAAAACTCCTTATATTATTTCCCTGCTATGTTTTAAATTTTATGACTTAGAGAGAATATTTTCGAAGTAATTTCAGCTAACCGATAACAGTATACGAGAAAGTTGGTCAAATGAATGATAAGGGATGGAAAGAGCCATTGCCTATAAACGTCATATTGTTATACGAGGATGTTAAACTGATTGAGCAGTTGAAAAGCATTATACCTGTAAGTTGTTCGAGATTTCATAAAATTTAAATCATTGAATCTATTAATATAATCGGGCATCGTTGTTAGTGGTGTTTGGTTGTGCCATTTGGACTTGATAATTTAAATTTCCAGACGCTTAATGCTATATTGGCAAATTTGTTTAATGTTTTGTTGCTCAATAATGTTCGTTATTTATTGAAAAAATTACTTGTAATTCTGGTAGTGTTTGTCTATTTCTTGCTTTTGGTATGAGAGAGAAACGATTTTGTTGCACAAACATTTGAAATCAGTATTATAGAAAATTGGAAAATTTTGTGAAAATCTGAAAGCTGGCCTTGATGTTATTGAACATCGAGTTGAAATACACGATTATGGAAGTCCGTGGACTGAGCTTCGTGTTGATGTAAGTCTTTCGTTTTGTTTTAGAAATATTGAAAGGGGAATGTTCTTTTTCGATTTTTTAGTCTTCCGTTATCCTTATTTTTCACTTTATCTGCCTGTTTTCCTTCTTTTAAACTTTTACTTTATTTTCATATATGTTTCTTAAATCTTTTATATTCCATGTTTGATTTTCTCGCATGCATTTGACTAATTTCTTTCGATTTTCAATTCCTTTTCAAAAAGGAATGAGAATGTTTTTCAAATAATTTCGTTTGATTTTTATTCTTTGGCACCCTTCATTTGTATTTCGATTATCCGTATTTTGCAAATTTTTATTGTGACCTATGATTATATATAAAGGTCATACGAAAGGCATAATTCATAAATTCACAAGCTTTTATAACTTAAAAATCTTTATTCTCTAAATGAAATGGCCGTAGTATGTTAGTATCCAACAAATCTGAAATATGCTTCATTTAAACACAATTTTTGTTTCCTTAGCAATATCACTTAATATCACTAAATAAATTTAGTAGTGATTTAATTAACTCCTTAATATTTTTCATTTTCCTATCATTTCCGTTGTTATTACCTTAACTCTTTCTTAACAGGTAATGTCCTCATGTTGGGAGCGAACATTTTTCAAAATGGCATCAACGTTTCAAGCTCTAACTAGTGAATTTTCTGGAAAGTATACACCTATACTTCAGACGGCAGAGCGTGGTTTTTTCATGGATGATTGCTTGTTTGCTTTTCAAATTGTTTTAATTCAAACCATAAAAGTTTCGTTAGAAACGAATTGTAGTTGAAATTGAACTTGAAACTGATAAGTAGGTTGATAGATTTATGTATAGAGAAGTTACTTTCGGCATTTGCGCAAACATCAGATGTTCCTATAGAATTTAACTGTTTCACTTCTACTTTTAACCAAGATTCAAGGAACAGATATTTCTATAGATCAACCCACCGACGATGTTATATTAGTAGTGAATCGAATTCAAGAATTATTTGATTTAATTTCTAGTCTTGAAAGCAGAAAAAAAAGCCAGCGATAAATGAACTGAAAAGCTTTGTCTCTGCTGGGCACCACTGATTCAGTTGTTTATTCCTTACTCACACTGTCGCAGCTTTTATATCAATATCGAAAGTCCTGTAACGGCATAATAGAAACTCTTTTACCGTTGAATAACTTATTCAATATCCGTATACTTAAGAATTTATCTTTGACCTTTTTAATGCTATCAGTCACAAAAATCTGTCTCGAAGACGTTAATCTTACAGCAATTTGCAATTTCTCTTTGCATATATGAGTTATAAAACTTTCCCCACCGCCAAACCTGGATTACTAGCAAGTACTTAATGGCCAGATTAAGTTTTCATTTCAGTTCACTTCTAAGAGTTTCTGTGGAGTTACTTTGTTTTCAATAAGAAAAATGTAAGATATACAGTTTCAGAACCAATAATTTATTAATTTATCAGGTCAGCTCATCTCCAAATTGATGTACACTCCATCCATCATGGAAATTTGCTCGATCCCGGAACATTTTGCTCACATTTCACTCGAGGAATACCGGAAAGTATTAATAGAACGAAATACGCAGAACACGTCAAAGTGTTGGCAAATTTATCGTCTCATGAGGTTCGTACTCCGATGTACGTTGATTTTGAACATGATCGAAATATCTTCACCGTGCGATTTGCTGTTTCAGATGGTTAGTTTTTTGCTGAAGTCAAACTAGGGTATCGCTGGGATAGATATGGTTAATGAGAATGGTCCGGGAAGGAGTAGAGGTCCTTGCTTTTCGTTCTTGGCACTTTCCCATTCAGATATGAAGTTTTTCTAGCAAACCACAGAATTGGACAACTTTTCTTATCCACCGAAAGTATATAGATAGCAGATAATATAAAGTAGGGACTTTATATTACCTGCATTCTATATACTTCCGATGGATAAGAAAAGTTTCAGTGACAAATTGGTTTCTTTTTTTGAATTTAAAAAATCAAAGTTTATTTTCTATTGAAATAACTGGTTACTATAGTGTACAATGAGCAATCGGACACTGTCTGCAATCTGAGCTTGAAACTTGTAGAGCACAGTTTGAGATTCAAGTTTTGTTTCTTATTCCATTACTTTATAGTACAGATCCACACCATTAAGTAAAATTTTCGGTAAAATGCTTATATGGGCTTTAGAAATGTAAGTGAGAATTGGGCATTTAGTTCGTTTGAAGTTGCCATAATTATTTGCAGATAATTATGGCAACTTTTCTTGTAACGTACCTTAATAGATAGTACTTCTCGAGTAATTGATATTTTAGGTTACAGACCCCGAGAAATGGACAAATCGAGCAATATAAAGCTTGTGGAGGGATCCATGTTTGCTCTAAAAGTGAGTTCTTCGATAATTACAACTTTTTGTTCTATTTTTATTGCGATTTTTTTACAATTTACTTAAGTAATTTTTTAAAACTGTTTCAATTTGAGTTCAAATTTCTTCGTTCTTTTTGTTGAATTTCTCTTAGACTATAATACTAATGTGAAAAGTAAATGATGGGATTAATCAAGTATTCTATATGAATGAAGAATTATAACTGGTTTCATAGTAATTATTATTGAAGAGCTGTAAATATTTCCAGGTCCATTACACTTCTTTACGTCGCATTTTAGTCGACACAAAAGTTTTAATCGGCAAAAATCAAGGAACTTATGCAACACGAATTTATTTCCATCTAAATTACCCTCCTGAAATACGTAGATTTCGTCAGAGGGCAAATTTTCAGCGAGGGCCAAAAGTGGAAGTAGTAGGTGATCGGTTCAGGTCGGTCATGAATTTTACTAAATCTTGAAACAACTGCTTAGGAAAAAAGCAATCGAAATTATTTCCATTGCAAACTTCTCAATTGACGTAATAGCGAAACATATAGAGAATTAGTTATAGTCAAAGTGAATATGTTTGCAGGTGTTATCCAGAAACAGATTACCCGCAAGACAGCAGTTTGGCAATTACAGCTATTAACGATAGTCCAGTCTTTTGTTTGCAGTTCACAGAAGTGATGGATGTATGGGTAGTTCTGGTTTTTATGTTATTACGGATGTTCTTAAGATACTGTTAAGTTTCGTGGAATTTCAGTTCCATTATGAGACAGTCCTTTTTTTGTATTCTAGGATGATCTGTTGTACAGTTTGCTGAGTAGACTGCATTCCCGTGTCAACCTTCCAATTGAATTCGCCAATGTACAACTTTCATACTTTTCCGTGAACAAGTATTGATTTCCTTTTCAATAAATAAGAAAGTTTCTCCCAATTTTCACCTATGCACAGAACTTAACAATTTTTTTAGATTCACTTGTTAAAGACCTTTGCAGTTTTAACTAGTTTCATTACATGTTAATTTCAGTTGATACGTACTTATTTCCTTAAACGTGTTTAGTAAAATATAAGTGAGTAAATGGGTGATTTTGCAGATTACTTAAACAATTTTAGTTATGTGGCATTACCAGTTCGAATAATTGGTTGTAACTATCGAAAATGTGCTAATGCAGACGGAATTCTGCCAAATGATCAATCATATGAGCCTGTAGAACCAAAAGTTGATAAGGCTTGGTCCGAGAAACTAAGATCACTTTCTTTTGGACTAGAATATTTGATTGCAGCACTATTATCACGTGGTGCTGTTGTGAAAGACCAGTTGCTGGTACGTATGCATTGAATTTATTTATGAAGATTTCACTAATTCTAATTCACATGTTTTGGAATTGTTTGATTTTATCCGAATCATTTGTCAAGCGCCACTTCTGCAATCACTATCACTCACTTATCTTAATTCATTCGCATGATTTGTTTTGAATACTTTATTCTTAAAATAATAGTAACTTGTGGTTTTTATTGACCTTGAAGGTAATCAGAATTATGGATGGAAGGCCAACACAATACAGTTGATTGTTTTTTAGTAGACTGTACATCTAATCACAATGATGACTACCAGTTTTGATTTGTTTTCTTTATAGATAACCGTTGAGTTAAGAAATCAATTTCTAATGCATGTAGTAAGAAGTTACGAGCAGGACGAAACTGTAAGTTCTTTTTTTCACTTTCATTCTGGTCAACATCTAATTTTATTTTGACATTAACAAAAAGAGATTTCGAAGCTTGTTTTTAATTTTATTGAAAAGGTGTGGCTAAAGAATAAGTTGATTTTTCCACCATTTAAATATATCACTATAAAATTTGACTTCTTTACTTTTCCTTTTTTTTTTACTGTATTTGTTATTCCTGTGTCTTAACCAGTTTAGTAAAACTGAGCTGAGAAAAACATTTCAGTTTCTTATTTCAAAATAATATAAAATTACTAAAAATCAATTAGCTGTTTCAGTCTTTAATAATTTTATTAAAGATAACACTAGAAGTGCTGGAGCGTTTAATCAACATGGTCGATGAAATGAAAAACATACCACCACTGATAAGTGCATTTGACCGCATACGTCGAAGCATTTTTGTAAAGAAAGATTTGCTTACTGAGATTCACGAAAGAAATACCGATGAAGGATTTCAACGTGTTCGAAAGGTTTCGAGATTTTGCATACATCGTATTTTGAAGGAAAAGAAGAAATCAATCAGCTGGATAAGTTTGGATACTGCTGAATAAAAATATTTGAAATATCTAAATCATTATATCATAAACTGGGTAATGTGTATAATTTGTCAATGACAATTATCAGGCTGTAATAACGCCAACCCGAATGCTTCTCGTGGTTCCGGAATTACTGATGGGAAATCGCGTTTTGCGTGAATTTGATGAAAGTGGTGATGGTGCGTTAAGGATTCAGTTTCGTGATGATGATGGTACACATTTGAGGCGTAACACTGCTGGATCATACATCATTGAAACAACAGTTCATAATTGCTTACTTTATGGAATTTATATATCAAGTAGGATATTATATTTTGAATTAACATATCAATACAATACCTTAATGTGTAGCTCAATAGCTCATATGTACTACTCACTTTATTTGGCTGAGAGTAACAGTCCTTTAATAATATTAATAAGTATGGTTAACGATAGCCACTGCTATGTTTGATGCAGGATGCGTTTGCATCAAAAAAAGTTGCTATTTCAATAGGTAATATACCATTAACCGTCGACATTTTTTCGCTGCTTAGATCATCTTCTCATATGAATTCTTTTTGCACTGTCCATTTTCATTTTTTTAATAATAATGACAAAGAGATTGGAATTGTTTAACAGGTCTGATAATTCATTTATAGCCGATCAAAAATTGTCATCAGCTTGCTTCTCATAGTTATCTAAATAAACATCTACGTTTTTCTTCGCAATTTTCAATATAATATTTCTATAGTACATGTTAAATTTATCCGCTTTATTTTATTTTTTTTTCAGATTGTCATTTTGTTTACTTGGGTTCGTCAAATTCCCAAATGCGTGACAATGGGTGTTATTTTTTTAATGATGGTAATGATGGTAAAGTGAAAAAGATTCGTGAGAAGCTTGGCAAATTTGATCGTACTAATATTCCAAAATTAATGTCTCGGATGGGGCAGTGTTTCACGCAATCAAAAGTAAACTAGCGCTAAATTTTATTTTATATTCATTATAATTAGATGCTGATATATTAATTGACATGTCAGATTGGCTTTTAGTTCCTAGCCACTTCTTGGCTTCATTTCTCAATATATTTGCAGTTCATTCCTTCTTTTTTCCTGAGTGTGATTGACAACACAATTGTCCTTTTCCTTTCTTTTCAAATAAGCATTCTCTAATAATTCCCAAGCTATATTTGGTATATTTTTATTTCAGGAAAGTGACGTTATTTTAAAACGTAAAAAATACAATAAAACATACGATGTAATAGGTGGGAAAGATTTTTGCGGTGAGCCGTTCATTTTCTCAGACGGTGTCGGAAAATTATCAGAAGATTTTGCCGAACAAATCGCCAAAGATTTAGGCTTGGGCAGTTGTGTTCCCAGCTGTTTTCAAGTAAGAATAATTTTCTGTTAGTGGGGAAATTGAATCATTATTATGAATTATTAACCTAGAGTTATGCTTTCAGATTTATTTGGATGCATGCGTATTGTGCATCTGCATTTTCCACTTGTTTTAAAAGAATTTGTTAGAATTATCAGATCTAGCGTTTGGTATTGTACATTTTATGGGATTAGGCTCTTTTATGCTGATTGTTACTATTGCGCGCAGGCAATTCGCTATACTAATTGTTAAATTTTTCTCTTGAAACTAATGAAAGAAACATGAATTATGTAATCATTGAGAGCCAAATTTTGGAGTTTTTTCTAACAGATCTCGTAAAATTTATCTTGATTCAAATTATTTGTTGATCCCAAACGAAGCACTACATGATTCTGGTTAAAGTTCAGGCATCGAGGGTTAAAAGGTGTGCTTTCTGTTGATCCGGCATTGCGGCAACGCCGATTGTGGGCTGAACAAAATGGTTTAGAGGATAAACATGGAAAAACTGAGAAAGTGAACGATTTAGATGTACTGTTTAGACCATCTCAGGTATTACTTGCTCATTGTTTCTTATGCTTTCATCCAATTGATAAATCTTACCACAGAAACTAATGAACCCAATTGTTCCTTTCTTTTTCAAATTCGAGGAATTTCTGCTCAATTATTAAAATATGAAACTTACTTTTTTCTAAACAACTCAGTTTTCTGTTTTACCTTTTTTCTAAAAACTCAACTTTGGTTAGGTGAGAAGTTTATCTTTAGGACAAATTCCATGCACCAAGGAAAGAAATAATAGAGATTGTGAAATATTCCGGTCCAACACCAGTCTGTTTGAATAGACCATTTATTAATATTCTTGACCAAGTTAGTATTTTTTCGCTATTTTTCACTTCCGTTTTGACTTCTAAAGAAGTCATGTAAATTGTCATGTAAAAACACAAGTCATGTAAAAACACATGTAAATTGCGTTCAGTTTAATATAATGTTATTCGTGATTTACAGTGGCTTTCGTTCTATCACACTTTGTTTATAGTCCATTAAGATTGTCAGCCATAGCTTGAAGTCTTTGATTTTTCAGAGTTACGGTCTATCTTTTTAAAATTATAGGTAAGTGATATGCAAGGATTTGATGTACATAGTCGCATAATCCATCGCATACATGGTTTACTTGATCGCCAGTTATTACAACTTTCTGATGCGCTGATGAGTGAAAACAGGTCATCCTTGTGATCAGTTCCTATTTTGCAATAAGCTTTTATTAAATTTGGATTTTTTTAAGATCTCGAACGAAAATTTTCATCATTTGTAGATGTCGTGAAAGACTAGCAGAATTCCCGAGACGGATTAATGTGCAATATTTATCATTAGCACGAGGTTTTACTCTTATACAAGAACCATTTTTCCGTGGTCTGTTAATTGCAAGTGTTCGATTCACATTGCGTAAATTCTTCGTTACATTATCTTTCTAACTTTTAAACATTTTGTGTAGAAGTAGTCTAAGCAATCTAATCTGCAACTTGCAAGAATATCGGCTAAATTTAGGCAATTTAAATTTGAGAATTTGTTCCATTCGAATTAGAATGTCATTGTGTTAACGTGACTGTGTTTCTGAATTTTTTTTGTATTTGAGGTTCTCTACCTTGTTGATTAATTTATTCCGAGACATGTTTTTTCTTCTCGAATATCTCGGCAGAATGTAATAGAGCGACTAATCTATTAATTCTGTCGTATCAACAGTTTAAGATAATGTTGAAAACGAGAAGCTATTTTATGATTTTTTTTAATTCCTGTGGACATTTGGCAATTTTGATAATGGCTTTTTATTTAAGAAAAACAATTATCTAAGGAACAAATTCAAATACCAACAAATCTTGGTCGAACTATGTTTGGTGTTTTGGATGAGACTGGATTACTTCAATATGGGCAAGTATTTGTGCAATTTACCAATAACGTTTCTTTGAAGACACCGCCAAGGGCTGCAGCAAAAACAACACTTAAAGGTTCATTTTTGTTAGGGAAAAGAAATAAATCTTCCTTATTTGTTTTGTATTAGATAATATTGTAACAAACCTTATTGTCATGGGGAATTATATTACCAGTATTTCAATATTTAAAATTTATTAAGAATTACTAATGATTTCTTACGAACTTCGGTGTTAAACAACTTCTAATCGAAGCCTTCGTCCCTTTCACTTTATTTTCAAAGGTGGTTTTGGTTTCCATAATGCCACAGTTTCCATAATGCATATTTGTCAATCCTAGCCTGCTATGCTTCTAATATAGGGCAGATTAATCGCTTAAAAATTTATTTAAATCCAATTATGATTTAGCAGTAAAAAAGTATTCCAGATATTTGGCACTATTAACTAAAGAAATTCGAATTCTTTTTCATGTTGTAGGGCCCGTGTTGATAACAAAAAATCCATCAATAGTCGCTGGCGATGTAAGGATCTTCGAGGCTGTTGATTTACCCGAATTACGGCATTTAGTTGATGTAGTTGTTTTTCCGCAGCATGGACCACGACCACATACAGATGAAATGGCCGGTTAGTTATCGTTCTGGATTTTAGGAACTTCCAGATTCATTAAAGTTTGGTAGAACAATGAAATTCGTCCGTTTGATAATAGTGACGATCCAGTATACTGTTGTTTGAAGCTTAAATTTTTCTATTGATTTTGGTATGATCTTGCGAATACATATTCGGTTATGATTATTCATAATCGAATATATTCTTTCTAGAAGTGCAAATGCCATCAGATCCCAAGCGTATAATGTGTATTGTCGTCAGTCAGTGCTTGAATTTGATCAGATAATAAATTTTAATTTTTGATTTACAAAATATCTTCATGAATCCAGTTTCATTTTGAAGGATCTGATTTGGATGGGGATGAATATAGCGTCATATGGGATGACCAGTTGTTATTGGACCACAATGAAGAGCCGATGGATTTCAGTAAGCTTGTTCGAGCTCCTGATGTTCTCGAGGAGAATGAAGTTGTTAGTATTTAGAATTATGAGTAAATATTATTTACTTCGTCTTTCTTCTCCTTTAGTAACTTAGTTCATCTTTCCCTTTGAATTGTCGCCTGCTTTCATTGTTCCCCATGTATCGCAGGATATAAGTTAAAAGCAGCCTCCTGAAACTTTTTTATACCGAGTTTTCTGTAGGGAATCTAGCACTGATCAGCATATAGTTCAATCTGCACATCATTTGAAATTGCTTTTTACAGCGTAACAGATTTCACTAATTCATTTCTTATATATTATATGCCTAAAATTGTTCTATTCCAAATTTCATACTTCTCGTTAATAAAATAAATAAAGTTCGAATATGTCGCAGCAAGCATTCTGCTGCTGTTTTACTACTTTCATCACTGTTTTAGGTGCGCGAAATGCGTCGCTTTTATGTTGAATATATCATGCAAGATTCAATTGGTGTTATAGCGAATTCTTTTCTCGTAAATTCTGATATCTTCGGAATCAGCAGCGATGTTAGTGTTTTTTTATTCTCATAAAAAATGTTTATTTTTAGCATGTACAAATGGAACGCATTATCTTCGTATGATTACATTAGTGATTGAATAAGATTGAATAATTCAGTGAAATTATTATCTTAAAACCTTGAAACACGCTCAGATTTCTATGCGATTTCAAATGTTCAGATGAAACAATGCTATAATTATTGATTATTAATATAATGTTTCTGTTATTGTCGTTTGGGATATTTCAGGTCTGCAGAAGTATAGCAGAAAAGCATTCGCAATCTGTGGATTTTCCGAAAACAGGACGGCCACCAAAACCACTTGTTAGAGATTGGATCCATGGGCCTGACGGAAAGATTATGCCACCTGAACGTCCGGAACGATGGCCTGATTTCATGTGCAAAACTCATGAACCTTCTTACGTCTCAACTCGCCTTGTGGGGCAATTATTCAGGTATTTGTTGGTTTTTTTCAATATTTTTTAGAAACGGCCAAAGCTGTTGACGTAATTATCGAGGTTTCTCTGAAAGATTATGTCAATATAAACGTCTTGCCATCTAAATAATGTAATTACTGAGCTTACGTTCCAAAAAGGGGTCCCTTTCGTTCCTATTACTGTAGATTAACTCGTTTGGCTAGCGCATTCTTCTTTTCTTCTCGATAACTGGTCAAAAATTTCTTTTTCAGACGAATCCGGCTAATCGATGATGTCCTCACAATAACCAGTGCTTGCGAAGAATATTCACAAATAATGGTGGATCCTCTTTTAAAATACAGTGGTTGGGAAAGATATGAAAATGATGCAGAAATAAATTTTATTGCATACTCTGCTCATATTAGGGTATGTTTTTCCCATAATTTGGCTATATACCTTTTGCATATCTTTTCTTTAAAGATTATTACCTATCTGTCCATGTCTTATATGATTGCGTTTGCAGGCTCTTCTGGATAATTATGGAATACAGAACGAATGTCAGCTGTATTCTGGTTGTTTTAGCAAAATTCGTAATCGAATCAGTGATAGGGATGCAGATGATATGTCTCAATTTAATACTACTTTTGTTATTGAGCAAAAATTTACGAACATATTTATGAGGTAAATGATTTTGAAAAAAAATACCAAATTTGAGTGCTTATTTTATATGCCATGAAGTAGCGGACAATTCATTTAACTGATTTTCTTTTATTTCAACAGTCTTTGATGATTTATGAGAAGCATTTTATGACTAACTTTCGCAATCTTCCAGTTTTCGCTGCAGTTTCTTCACTGAATTTGGTGATTTTATGTCTTGTACCACACCAGATGATGATAAAGATGTAACTGAACGAAGATATTGTAAATGTCCAACTGTAGAGATGAAAAAGAAAGCATCTGCTTATTACATCGTTTGCTATCGTAAGTTACGCTGAATCATTGAATTGTCTTCATTGTGTGAATATTTGACTTACCAAATATTATAAAAGTATTCGATGTAGATGAATGAATGTGAAAAAGAATTATCGGTATGGAATCAGCAAGAAAGCATCCTCAGCGTCTTTTGTCTAGCTGTAGAGTCCGTTGGTTGGTTGTATCCTATTTCAATCATGCAATCACAATGAGGCTTATCGACGTTTTAAAGCAATCCTTTTCCTGACTTTCTAATTTTATTATTTGGTCTCCCATTAAGTAAAAAAAGACTGAACATTTCTCTCAAATCGAATTTTTTCCTCTTCTACAGCTTTTAAAAGATATTTTTCCAAATACATGAAAATCCGATGAGTTTTCAGGTAAAACTATGAATGCGACAAGATTGTTATCATTTCCATGGATTGCATGGGATATACTTGCTGAAATAAAAAAAGAAAATTGCATGCTAACATCGCAAAATATATTGACTGTCGATCCTATTTGCGACAGTATATCAAATGTCAGACTTTCTCTATGTTGTGTTTCGAATTTCTAAGTTTTTAGTCATATTTAGCTAATGCTAAAAAAAATAGAATTTGTAACTATTTTTTATTGTGATACGTAAGCGAAATTGTGCATTTAAAAAAGGGATTTTGTATTCTTATTTCTTACAAATTTGCAAGCCGAGGCGAATTTTAAATACGTAAAAAAATTGCAGAAATTTTCATGCATGACTAATCTTACAAATCTTACATACTCACTCGTCCTCTGAATTCTTTTGCTGCAGCTCTTGCCATGAATTTCTATTTTCAAAACGAAATTTTTTTCCTCATGATAGAAAAATATGTATTATAGATCATAATTTCTTTTTGTGACTATAATAAGGAAGATTTTGATCGGACTATGGGTAGTTTATCAGAAGGTGCATTTGGTCTACATGCCATCAAGCGATATTGCAGGAAATATAAAGGTAAGGATAAAATGTTCTATTGCAGTCATTCTAGGATTTATTGTAACCAAATTTTGTAAATTCAACAAATAACTCATTTTGTCGATTTTCCACTTTTGGGTGGAAATAAATATCTGTTGTGCAGTTATGAACTTTACCACTTCATTCTAGGATTGGACAAATTGTTTTACGTGTTATGCAAATGGGGTGAGCAACAACAATTATTTAAACGACTGAAACGGGAGCATTTATGTTTATGGTTAATACAATACGGTTTGGGATATATAAGTAGTGAGAACATCCGCAGCTATGTTTTCCTTGAACAGGTTATTTGAAAGTAACAGATTATTTAAAGCGTTTGTAATCTAAAAATCCGTAGTTCTGTCTGTTATGGGTACACCGTTATTTGTTGCTCTCTTTAATTTTCACTTTTGAAAATACTATTTACATACTTCATTAGTTTTCCTGGTCATTGTTTGATTAAAGCTATTTGGAACACTTTCGGATGTTGAAAAGATATAAGGCTTTGATGAGATATTTATTTTATGCAACTTAACTTTGAAATTCGTTTGACTTGGGAAAGTCTTTAAAATTTCGCTTCATTTCAGTTCTTTAATTTTTTCCCTAATTTTTTTTTAATCCCCAGTTCTTAATTTTTTATCGTTGCTTTTATAAGACATAGCTCTGTTTGGCCTCTTTTCAGACCGATGAAATCCTTCCGGAAAATTCAGATGAAAGTCAGAATTTGGACAACTTAATTGGTGGTATAGGCAAATGTTTCCTGCGGTTTCTACAATATTTGAGCTCGCGATCATTCGAAACGACAAAGATTTTCGATTTTATGCGACCAAATCTTGGATATCAATCAATATTGATGCGTGGCCAATGGTTCGATTTGCATCAGGTCTATTCTTCAATTTTGGTCACGAACACTATAATTAACGTTTAGCAAAATGTGCTTTGCTTTCATTTAACTTAAGAATTATTTGTTGTTCCTTTAATGGTATAGATCATTTAGAGTCCTTTTGTAAAAAAGAAAATCTTGGAAAAAGAAAATCCTTTTTTAAATACTTAATCACATTTTGATTTTTAGGCGGCTGTTAAAGCTTTCTATCGAATAGTACTTACGAGTCGTTTTGATGAACTATCATTATTTGAAAAAAAGCAAATGTCAGCAAATAGTGCTTTTGTAAGTTTTACTTATCAATTTTATTTGTCTGTTCAACCTATCAAGAATGCAAAGAATGGATAATGCGATATGTGATGTTAGATAATTACTTATATGTTTATAATTCATTCTCTTTGTTAAAATGTGTAACATGCACTACATTTGTCTTTTAAAGTTTCAGCTGCGTAATTTTATCGAAGCTGAACCTTTTACTATCGAAATACCGGAAGATTTGTCCTTTCACGATGACAGTTTGAGAAGTAAAATGATAACATATTCGGGCGTACGTCATTTATATTTGAGAAGAATTCCGAATAGAAAAAGTTGGTTTTTGACTTGAAATTATTTTGTGATTCCTTATTAATCGAATTTATTGATAAATCAATCTCTGTTTGTATGGTGAAAAATTATGTAACATAGTTGCAGGCAACCAGACAATTAAGTATCAATTTAATATTAGATATTTAACAGTACTTAGGGAGGAAAAGAACTTTAATGAAAAAAAAATTTACGTAGGGCTTGCTTATTCTGTCTTATATTCACCATATTGACTTGGAGATCGATGTCCAGGAACTTTAAACTTAACTGTGTCAATAGTAAGGAATATTTAAGGTTAAATCAGGTTGAAATAAACCAATCTGTACTACTATCACTTTGATCGAAAGATTTTTAGATCGAGTTGTAATATCAGCATTTGGTACGTTAGAATCATTGCATCGGTTACGTGATATACTTGCTGTGAAACTCACGTCAACTATACAAGCTGACACTAAAGCACGCAATGATATGATTCTTCGACTAGTCTACGAGCGGATCCAAGAATTGCCTTGAAAGTTTACTGGGAATTGATATTTGCTGTTGATCTCAAAAAAAAAAAACAGAATTTCGGTCACATATGGTGAAAATTGTCCGAGTTTTTGGGTTGTGTTCAAACAAGTTTCACTTAATTATTAATTATAAATTATGCATGTTTTTCAAACTATTTCTTGTTATCGATTTTTATCAGCATAGTATGGATTTATTTGTTATTGAATTCAGCGATGTAGTTAATCAAGTGTAAAGATTCATCTGTTTATGTAGGACATCAATATCATGTTTAAATTCATCCACTCAAACTCTTAATGAATGATAAAGATCAAATAGTCTAAACGATTAGTTGCTGAATGTGTAGTTATTACCTTACATGACATTTTTTCTAACAGATATGATCTATCAGTGTAAAACTTTTATTTTCCTTTTGAGAGATATTTGGGAACAAAAGTGATTGATTAGAGTTTGAAAAGGCGTAGTTTATTTTTCGTATTTTCAGATTAATTTTCATATCAATCACTACTCATTCTTTATCTGTGGAATTTTAGCACTAATTATTAATATGCCATCATTCCGGTTTTTATTGAATTTTCTGAAAATGAGGGAGATGAAAATTTAAGGTGGATAATAACTACGATTTATGACTGTCATGTTCATATTGTCTGGTCTGTTTATATACTCAGGGTTAATGTTTGATATTGTAGTAATTTTTTTCTTTTTTAAACACTGTACTAATAGCTCAATTGTTTGGTCATTGTGATCATCAGATAATCATATTTTGTCCAGGAAATTTTATTAATTTAAACGTGTCTTGTTATTTAGTAAATCATGCCATTTTCTTTTCTTTAATGAAGAGTACTAAGATTTATGGACTGTCAGTAATTTGTCTCATTGTTATTTTTTTTCCTGTTGTTCTTTTAAGTATTGAACATTCATATTTCAATTCCTCATTTGGCTTTAAAATTGTTTTATTTGTTAGGAATAATAATGCGGCAATTCTGAAATTTTTGCAAAATTCGCTTCTATCTTTTGGGTTGCCGACATAAACTGTTGTTTCGATTTAAATTTGTGAATTGAAAAATAGACTGTTGTTTCGATTTAAATTTGTGAATTGAAAAAGAAATTGTTGTTTCGATTTAAATTTGCGAATTGAAAAAGAAGTTGTTTCGATTTAAATTTGTGAATTGAAAAATAAATTGTTGTTTCGATTTAAATTTGCGAATTTGGTTTATTTGCATTTTGGCAATAACAGTATTATCATAATCTCGAAATCAGACAAATATTTTGAGATTTCTGCAGATGACAGTGTCATCTAAAATTTGAGCAGCATCATGTGAGCATTCGTATTTCTGTTGTGCTCGTTTTTTTGCATACACCGAATGAAGGACTCATCTCCACTTGAATGTGTTAGTTTATCGGAATGTCCGCAATTTTGTGAGGGAAGATTTCTCTATTTCGGTATGTACTAGGAGATTTGTCACCTCCAAAGATTGAGATTTATTTAATTGGAAAAGTCACTGAAGTGCTGTCAGAAAAACGGTTGGTTTTACGAATGCAATGAAGTTCACATCGATTGCTTCCAGATGTGGGGGGTGACCCATTTCATAATGCTCATGTATAATGCATTGTAATCAGTTATTGTTTTCTGTGAGTGAGACTGAAAATAATTATTGGATTATGTTATCATTTTAAACGATAGCATGATAAATATAAAAAAGATTAGATTTTAAATGTTTGCTTAATTCGACCATAATTTGAAATCGTATGATATCATCTGCTATTAAGATTCTGGGGATTTTCAGCATTCATTTCTTCTCGGTCATTTAAAAAAGCTTAGTTTGAAACAGCCATATCATTCTGCAATCCTCAGTTTAGGTTTCCGGACATCAACTACAAACTTACGCTTACCCAATAGTTGATAGAAAATAGTGGGGTCAGCGGTGCTTTATCATTGTAAAAGTGAGCTTCTTTCCTCCCTGTCAGCAGTTTGTTTATCACACCAAATACTAATTATATTGGCAAGTTGATGATCGTAATATTTTCCAAATTACTCCTCACAGTTTATTCGAGTCACTTCAACATATTTTCTGCTAGTTCCACAAAGTACTTAGATTTCGTTCAATAAGAGTTACGGTATTATTGTAATATAACAAATCAAGATGAAGTCGCAATAAAGAATTACTGCCATATTATCAAGACTCCCCATCTAGTCCAACCACATACGGGCATGGATCCTTGTTGTCTATAATTATTCGTTCTGTGGCCAGAAATGACCAGAAATATATTCGTAAACCGCATGAAGGAGTTGGTGTTAAAACCAATCTATCCTAATCCATCAAATCTCCCTGATCGGGAATGAGGAAAAGCAAAGTTGTTCAGTTTTGTTTAGCCATGAAGGCTGAGGATATGGTCGCATTCTATGCTAATATATGACAGCAACTTTCTAAACATTGGAATCTTAGTGAATGTCTATAAATTTGCGGAAAAAATTTTATTTTAGTTCCACCATATCACTTGAAAAAGGCTCAATTCCTTTGTAGTCAGGTTTTCCAGGAGAAAAGTTATTTAAGGTTGATTTTCATGCTGAACGATAAGAATGAAAATAAATTTTTGCGCAATTTGATTATGCGGCTGATAAATGATGATATAATTTTTGTGAAATTTGATTATGCAACTGATAAATGGTGGCACAATTTTTGTGCAATTTGATTATGCAACTGATAAATGATGGCACAATTTTTGTGCAATTTGATTATGCAACTGATAAATGATGACATAATTTAAACGTTAGATATGTTAATAAATTTTTTTTTCTGTTATAATAACTCAAATAATATAGCTGTCATTTGAGAAGCAATCTTAGAAAAAGATAACAAAATCTTATTGAAAATGATAATTTATCATTCAATGAAATATTCTCTTTAAATATATTACACATAGTAATGATAACATTAACAATCATATAATTATATGATATGATATGATCGATATTGATTACATTTTTATATCAAAAATATTTATTATTATTGAATATGCCACAAAATAAAATAATGATGTGAATATGACATGATCAATATTGGTTTTTATATCAAAAATTATTATTCAATATACCACAAAATAAAATAATAAATGAATGAATGTATTTTACCACTTACTGCTACGGTAGTTGTTAAATCTTTTTTTTTGTTGAATTTTCAACAATTTTTCGAGAAATAATTGAAAAGTACTTTTCTAATATCTATTTCATATAGCTTTTAAAGGAAAAAAAAGAAACGAAAGACAAATTATTTTCTAAGATTTAAGATATCAATTATTATTTCCTTTTTTCGTGAAATTTTCAATCATTTCTGCAAAATTGAATATTAAAAAGCAATGCGTTGAATTCATTGAATTAGACATATTTCATTTCATTCATATAAACAAATTATTGGTATGAAAAATGCAATACTTAAATGATTTTCAAATTTGACTATAATATTTGAGTTGAAAGAACGCATTGAAGCATATACATATATATATATCAATCATACTACCGCATAATTCCGCATAATTAACCAATTTCATTTTGTTAATATTACCTTTAATACTATAATTATTTTCACTATTATTTAAATTTCAACCAATTAAATAAAGTAAATAAAATTATTGATGAAAATATTTGAATGTTTGTTCATTCATTTCAGTTTTATTATTGGTAGTTAATTTTTGAACTTTTTTATTTTTAATTATTTATATCTTTGTTTTTTTTGCAGATTGTTTGTATACAATTCAAATTATCCAAAAATATATTTAATTATAAGAATGTCATTTGAATTTGTTAGTTAATAAATACTTAAAAATAATATCATTGAAAAAAATAGTTTGATAATTTAATTAATAGAACGAATAAGAATTTGACGTTTTGATTGTAAATGATTTTCAATAAGGATTTGTTGTTGTTGTTGTTGTTGTTGCTGGTGTTGCTGTTGCTGTTGCTGTTGTTGCTGTTGTTGTTGTTGTTGTTGCTGTTAAAATATCAATTCAGAATCTAATTTTGAATGAAATTTTTGTTCCAAATAAAAATTACTAAAGTTTTCTAAAACAAAAAGTACTGAAGGAAATTTCTTTTTTTCTCTTTCCGGATTCAAATTTATGCTAAAATTAAAAAATATGTCAAATTGGAGCAGCTTTTGTCAATCCTTCATGTATTCTGCCAATTGATATTACTGCTTCGTTTCCCGTTATGTTCCTACTTGGAAATAAATAAGTAAAATAAAATAAAATTTAATTACTGAAGTTGTGTGACAGTTAAAGTTGGAGTGATAATAATAAATAGATGTAAACAATACATGCTACTCTCTCCACTTATTTATATCATTTCAACGAAGAGAGAGAGATAGGAAGTGAACAGGATAACAATAATGATTGAGATCAGGTCAATATTTATTGTTTCCGTAAGATTGATGAACAAATATTTTTCGTTAGTGCTATTGGAATAATAGTAACAGTAGTATGTGTAGAATAAAAGCATCACAAAGTTGATGAACATAACAAAGCTTTGTTCAATCAATAACGGATTTGACGGAAAATCAGAAAAACGAAATTTGGAAAACGGAAGTTATGCCTCTAGGACAATAATCATCATTCAAATAATACACCAATGAATTACATATTCCGGCTATTCTTGCTAAATTATGGATATCTTCCGCATTCATGCAACAAAGCAATCTCAGTAGCATTTCAATTACATTGTCCATCACTACACTTATCATACGTAGTTACGGTAAGACTCTAAAATATTCTACGAACAATATTACATTAAAGTAAATATTTCCATTTGCATATATAATTTACTATAAATTCAATTCCCAAAATTTTTATATTAAATAAATGAATGAAGCAATTTTTTTAAATCATTAAAATATTGCCATCAAAATTTATAATTTGTGGGAACAATATTTTCTTATCATCAGAATATGTACGCACAGACCACTTTATATTATTTATATATATATATCATATATCATATGATATGATATACA